GCCTTTTCTGACAATTTTCGTCGTCAACTCAACCTGTTGGTCTAGGTATCGTCTGTTAAATTGTCAATTGTTCGGCCATTAAAAATATAATTTATTTCTAACTTTAATAAATTTTAGGCGGCGGCTTGTGTAGTGTCAAGTTTTTGTTATTTATTATTAGGATCCTAATTTAGTAAACAGTAGGTACCTAACTTTAAACATTTAGTGCCCAGCAGTCTAGCTCTCTTTTATATGAATAAAATATTGGAATAAAAATATAATTTAAATATTTAATACATTTTCCAAAAACAAGAAAATGACTTAATAAAAGAAAATAAATGCATCCCGACTGTTAATTTAATTAGCTCAATGGCATTTTCTACAGCAAGAAAATAAAATGGGAAAGGTTAAAATAAGTAAAAACACTGGGGTTTATTTAATTACTATGTCTGTTCGCTGAAATATCTTTTGACGGACATTTCGAGGCGTGTCCTCGGTGATAGCGATTTTCAGCCAGAGTTGCGCATGTAAGCGCAATAATATACTGCGTCCTAGGCCCGAAGCAGGAGATGCTGAGGGGTTTTAGTCAGTTAGGGTCTGACATTTCCTATCGCCCCATTCAGGGTGACAAAGGCAGATTTAATTGGGTACATCCCCCTTTCAAATAATATCATACTCGTTTAAAGTAACAAACATATCACGATTATTCCTAGAAAACAAAATAAAAATAAGATATCTTTAACACGATGGATTTTGAATCGTCAAAATTATAATTCACTTAATATTTTGAAAGAAATAACATAAATGGAAAAGTTGATTTAACTTCAACTTGAGTTGGTTTCACAACATCTGTATATGTTATTGGAAATGGTCAAGATAAATCTACATAGATTTTTTTTTATTTATTAGACTTACGCTATAAAACACCATCATCATCGGCTACTAGAAACTACTGAGCTGCTGTCTCTGAACTGCACATTCTTTTATGGAATATTTTGAGCCTAAATTACATTTTCCCCCCTTTATTTCTCCAAAATGCACTCGGTTTCCCGCTATTCCCTGCAGTCATTGGAACCGGACCCTGATGAAATGCACGCAGGAGTGGGAGTGAAGATTTTTGTTGATGAATAAACCCGATGTAAGCTAATTGAAATGTCAGATCGATGAATTGACGGGTGATGTTTATTTTTTATTTTCATAACGTTCGCGTTCACGTTTCGTTTGTTATTTTAGTTATTGTTTACTGTCTCACTTTTAATTGAACAAATGTTGGGTAAGTAATTTCTTACTCGATTTCTAAGTCGAGCAACATACTACTAAATTTAGAGGTAACTAAGTTTACTTCTAGATTTCAGTAATTGAGCGATTGTTTTTTTCGTAACAGTAGCGTGCAATTGTGGAAGCCTATGTGGACGAAATCAGGCCGATTATGATGATGATGATGATGTTGTTGATGATGATGATGATGATGAAGATGACGATGATGATCATGAAACTTTTGATGTGGGTGGTGAGCAGCTGTAAACCAGATCGGAATTGGTTTTGTTTTTATCAATAACTATGTTGAAGTAGGCGTGTGTTTTATTTCTGTCACTATACTTATAGATAATATATTAAACCTATAGATAAATCAAGGATCAGAACCTTATTATGACGTATCCGATTGGAATTAACAAAGCAATAAGTATAAATGATACATAAATTAAACCTGGCTTGGCATTGTACCTTATCCTTTTTTTTTGTAGAGAAAAAAATATGAAATGTTTCTCTCGCCTAGGTATTGACGAAACGAAGTGTCAGACTCTTAGTGACTAAAAAAACCCCATGCCTTCTCCTGCTCCAGGTCGAGGCCACGGTACCTTATCGCGCTTGAATCTCAATCCCGGCTACACTTTTTTGTGAGGGAAATGTCATCAAATGACTTCTCCCGCCCAGGGCCCGGCGGGAGGGAATTTCAGACTCTTACTGACTAAAAACCTCTGTTCCTTCTCCTGCTCTGGGCCGAGGTCACGGTGCCTCATTGCGCTTACTCCGCAACCCCTTCGGCTAGCCTAGTATTTGAACGGTTTGTTACATTAATGCTTGATATTGGCATCAAAATTTGTAAGTTACGTCGCTCACTGTTCTTTCACCCGTCAAACTGCATAAATCTGTTTACTGTAACGGATGAATGAGCCTTTGTTCTCGCGCCATACTTTCTGATAGCCGTCTTAACCTATTCTTTGTTTATTTCAACCTTCAATTCAAGTATTCATTAATTATGTATTGAATCATCTACATTTTTGGTTGTATGCTACTAAATATTGTGTTTTTGAGTGAATGAGAACCATGTCAGCTCGATCGAACTGATGCTACGGTGAAAAACTGATTGATAGCTATTTCATTATCATCGTCATCAGCCGGAAAATGTCCATTGCTGGACAAAGACCTCCCCTTAGCCTTTCACGTTGAACAACAAGTTGCCAACTGCATCAATTGGCTCCCCGCCACTCTGACGATGTCGTCGGTTCACCTAGCGGGAGGCCTATACGGGATAGCTATTTAAAATTGGTACCTAAACAAATATTCCTTTGTATAGTTATAAAAAAATTTATAATTACGGTTTAATGAAGTGAAGGATATTTTTGAACATTATCCTTGTCAAGAAATGCAACGTAAATAGGTACGTACGAGTAACGCGTTAGCTAAACAAAATTATAGCAGCAGTCTGTAGAGGTTATAAAAAAGTTTGTTTTGTGAAAAATATTTTTATTCTGTAGGTGACCATAAACATAGAGTTAATTGAATGTGTCTCCTGCGGCGTTGCTTAAATAAAACCTTGTCGTAGTACCATGTCATGTCCCACGGCAAACCACAGGGGACGTTATTCAGGTAACATTCAATATTTGTGGTCAGCCTTCGAACTTGCCACACAAAATTCAACCACATGCACATTGAATGTAAGTTCAATCTGGTTCCTCGTTTAAGTGAAAATTAATGCTCATTTTCCGCTATAATAAATATCTGGTAACTGAAAGTGCAAGTTGCTTGGATTTAATTTAGGGCGCGCTAATGGGTTTTTGTGTCTCATGATCTATTTTGATACAATTTCGTGAATGGAAATATTTTATTGTGTTTGTTTGTTTCGACGACTGATATATAAAAGTGCATCTGAGCAGACGGATTACCTGATGGTAAACAATCAGAGCCGCCGATGGACATGTATGAACCCCCCAACACCAAAGCGGACCCGTATATGGGCTTTTTAGGGATGAGGGTTTCGATAGGTGATTAGGTGATTGGGAAGGGATGGAGGAAAGGGGATGGATTGGGCCTCCGGTAACCTCACTCACTCGGCAAAGAACAATTCACTGTGGTTGTTTCACGTCAGTTTTCCGTAAGACCGTGATATCACTTCTGTCGATCCGAACCATCGTGACGAAACTTGGCTCTCCCACACTTATTGAGATAAACATAGTTGCCTGGTCAATACAAACTTACAACAATAAAGGAATCATAGTCTTTGACCTTCTTAAAAAATGGTGAATTGCACTATCGTTTTTGGGTACATAAACAGTTAATAACCAAAACTAAGCGACGACGTTATATCAACACCATGCATGGCCTATCTTGATCGAGTGGCCCGGGCGCTCCCCATGCTCGATAAAACCTATTAGTTCTTGTCACCTTATAAGTCTAAAAGATTATGAGTATAAACATAGCAAGTACATTTAATTCTCTTTATTATTGAACATAATACATTATAACTAATTCTTTTACCTACCAAGGCAAACAAAAGTATAACAACACATTTTTAGGTTTATTGTACATTACGTTTTCAAAAATATGTCTTCATATAAAATTTACTACTACTATTCGCTTTTATCTTATAGCAATTTATTGGTTACGTAGGCACGTTTTATTTCACATCATTGTGTCGTTTGAAAACAACTTTAGATATTTGGCTTGGCGTGGAAGTACATTTACAATGATTTTTTAAATAATTCCTTAGTTATGATTTTGTTCAGAAACAATTTTTTTATCAAGTAATTATAGAATGGCTTTTACTATTCGGTAAGATGGTTATCGAACTAGAGAAACGAACGTAAAACATAAAGAACCAAATTCAAAATTCGCAATAATACATATTGTTATCGCCACAGTAAAATCTCATGCTAGCAGTAAGACAAAACAGTCAACAGTAAATATTATTGTTATAAATAACACATGTACAGAAATGTTTCGAAGGGAAAATAGTATGCATTGTGAAACTAGAAAACCGTTACGAGAACCGGGTAACAAAGCGAGCAATGTTATGCACGCGTCTCTACGGGCGCCGACCACCAAGTCCATGATTTCCCTAGCGACCGATTCACGCCGCAGATCGTAAACGCAGCGTCATCCAACTGTCGCTCATACAACGTGATCAACACTTGAAAACGTTCTCTTAATTACAGCTTTTTCAACAACGCAAATATATCATATTTTAAATACGAATTGTGTTTTTTTTTCAGATAAGTAATTGAGAATGGGACTTTTAAGTATTTAGAGGTACAATCTACACAACAAGCTTAACTACAACAGATCTATTAAGCCTCCACAAACGAGGACTAATAGACCTGATGTTCAGTCGGGGTTGTGGGTCAAACGCAATGATTTTAAGTCAGCAAGAGTCTACTCACCGTAATCCAGGGCGGGAGAAGTCATTTGTTGATTATCCCCAAACCAAAAATGCTGAAAACAGATAAAATATTAATTTCATACCTGATTTTATAATTATATAGATACATTCATATATAAGAAAGATAAATATTGAAAAAGGACAACTACCTACACATACACATATACATAATTATAGTTATTTATACTGCATACATGTGTTCAAATCTATTGGTTTAACATTATATCACTTGATGCATCACTTTGCTAATGCATATTTAAATGAGCCCTTGAGTTATTTAGACGCCATAGAAGGGGTTCACGCGAGTTGGCCCTCTTACAGAAGGGAGGCGCTCACCTGCTTAAAAACATCTCCAGGGACGCTAGTATAAGCCCTTCTCAGTCGCTACGCATCTCTTAGAACCCTTTTCACTAATATCGTGCGTAGACGCCTATTAAAAATATATGAATTATTCTAAATAATGTCTATACAATTGTGTATTTCATGCAAGAAAGATCTGCCAATGTTTTCTTAATAGCTCTGTTCTATACAATAATTACATTTATAATTATAATATCTGAGGGTAAAATTCAGTAATACTATTTTATACCTAAATATTTTCTACGTAAATTGTGTATTTCTCGTTCCACGTTTCTATTGAATTTAGTGATAAGGTTGCCTCTCAATATAATTATATCAAGCGTCAAGCGCCAGTAATTACTGCTGCACCTTGATAAAGTGGCGTCTAGGTAGGTAAGGTACCAAGTGCACAATCAAGGTTTATGACATTCTCTCCAGTATCAAATAATCTAGATTCCAGACCTATGTCAACTGACTTATGTTTTTATGTATAGCAACTATCGTGTTACATACTAAATTTACTGAATGTACTTACATTAATCAATTGAGAAAAGTTCTACGAGTTTCAAGACACGACGAAAAATAAGTTTGTAAGTCGGTTTTTTCAATAAATTTAATTACAACTTTGAAAAATTTTACAACAATTGTCGACTTTATCAGGACCTTACATCCGAGTACAAAGTTAATCCGATCCGTATAAAATAAAAATGGAACAATATTTACTAAATAATAAGTTTTTTATCTACGAAATTACCGTGTGTAAGTGTGTATTTAAGTGATGTTGAAAAAATAATAACGATAGTAAATACTTATACAAAAGACGTTTTCTAAAACGGCAATATACTAGGTAAAGACCTATTAAAATATTTATTACTTACGAAAAATTGTAAAACATCTAACAAAATGAATGATACCTATGTACGTATATGTATACTACACAAATTATGTTTTAATATCCCAAAATTTCACAAAAACAAACGTATAATTATGTACATTACTCATTGGTATACGTATAAACTTATTTACCGACAAAAAGTCAAACGTTGCCATGTTTCGATAAAAATATTCTCGTGATGTGATATCATTTTCTTTTAACTAGAGCCGTTGTTTCTCATTTTATACGTAATAACTTTCATTTTTTTTGGTTAATTTATCTATTAATGGAGGAATAAAATTAAACACTAAGTCTGTTGCATCGGGTGACCAAACAAAATCGTAATGTCCAAAATTGTCCGCTTTCACCACATGATGGACGTTCACATTTGGCAAAAGATGCAAAATTGTTTGTATGTCTGATACAGCTGCTAGCCAATCCGAAGGAGAACTAAACAACGCCACAGGTAAGGTTACTTTTTTCAAATTATATATTTCAGGAGTCCCATTTTTATACTTTCGTAAATTATTTGCGGCTCCATAATCAAACATTTGAAAGTATCCACTTTTTACCAACTGCACATAATGGATTACTGTTTTTGCAGATGTGCCACCCGGGGTATGGGCCAGTACATCTTCCATCAGCTTCGGCTCGAACAAATGACTGCCACCATTCACTAATAGTAACATTGGATTTTCACACGACTTTGTATCTCCTTTACAATATCTTTTAACAATTTGCTCCGGAAATGGCCCCGAGTTCATAAACTCAGTCTGACCCAAGAAGTTTAGAGAACTGTGACCATTTGTGCTATAAAAATTTGCTAACAGCCTGATCGGACCTTTTGCATGATACATAAATGCCAATGGTGCCAGTAAGATCCCTGATCTTAATACTTTGTTGTATTCTGGTGCCGTTGACAAAAGGACTAGTAGTGCTGTGGCTCCGATAGAATGTCCTATGAAGTTGAGTTCTGCTTTATTGGTAATTTCGCTTATATATTTAAAAGCTGCAGGTAAATCGTAAATACCCATTTCGTGCCAGGAAAAATCCCAAAATTCTAGTCTTTCAGAGCTTGTCCCTGTATGTATTTTTGAGTATTTGTTACCTCGTGCATTTAGCAGCCACACATCGTATCCACCATCACTTAACAAGTAAGGTAGCGCCCTTTTTTCACCAAGAAGTAGCCAGTCTTCGGAGCTTCCAAGTATACCATGATATAGTATGACAGCACGGTCGTAACGTTTATCGAGGTCACGCATTATTCGATGCATAGTTATCATGTAACCATCACCAGTTAGAACGGTATGCGATTCTGATTTAAATCCATGTGCAATTATTAAATGTTCGGCAGAAAATTCTGGTTGGGTATCGAAAGTAATATTGTCAGGCTTATCTGGCCAGGTGGAGTTCGCCACTATTTTCATATATTCTACAGGAGCTTTCTTCGTTACCATTGTTTTTGTTTTATGTTCTTTAGACTTACCTAAGACTTCAAGAAATGCGTGAAAAGCAGACTTAATTTTTTTTCGCCTTTCTTCAAATTCATTACTAAAATAGTTTGTGATGCTACCGAAAAATCCATTCAGGGGTGCAAAAACTCCGTTGCTTGACCTTGGAGCCCTTATATGTTCAGTATCACTTTTTACAACACAAGTGACATTAACATTTGAAACCATATTTACTAAAACAATACACAACAATAAGTGTCTACACATTTGGACAACCACGAGCGTACAACACATCCGAATGAACCGGTGACACGTATAGTTCTACTAGAAGTAAAATTCTTTTGACGCATAGCATAGAAAACCTCACTCCTCAAAATAATAATGTTTACTTAAACTATCTTATTCTAGAACTTGAGACAATAATCAGGATTTTTGACACATAAAGAGCGGTCATTGTGAGTATGGATAAACAAGTCCATTCGTTGAGTTTTAACAATTGGAAGACTAAATGAAAAGCCAGGGAATTTCTCGAGAGTCGTCACTCGGTTTAAGACAATAATCCATTCAATATTCCACTTACAATAGGTAGGAGCTGAAGAGTTCGTAGCTGTTTTTGAGAGCGACCTTTAACATTTCTAATGATTTTACCAATCGATGATTTGTGAAATCAACTACAATAAATTAATATTATGTAATAAAAATACCTAAAGGTTCTCTACATCTGGCAGAAATTACTTTAAAAACTATTTACATTTAACCTAACATTTAATTCAATAGCGCCACCTTTGACTATAGATTAGCATTGTGGTTCCCACGGAGAGGTTAATTAAAAACCGTTTGAAAATAAATTTAGAGCAATTGGTTTGTAAAATGTAATACCATGTTATTATCAAACTTAATATTTAGAAAGATTTAGAGATTGGAATCATGGTGTGCTTCTGGTTTCTTTTATTGTGTGCTCTCAACTAGTCTTAGCACATGTTATGAACCAACTAGGTTTGAAGTGCAATCGCTTTGATGTTGGAGTAGGAGAAGTAACGTTAGTTGTTAAGAGTCTTGCTCTCTCTCTCTCGCCTCTCGCAGGACGGAAGAAGTCATTGGATAATTTTCTTTTCTCAAAAAAATGGGCTTGAAAATTAGGAATTAATTACATCATTCACCAATAGATCGCCACAGACAGACCAATTTTTGTTTCATTGGAATTTGTCTGTAAAATGCCATGGTGGCCAAAAATATTAAGGCTCTTTCTTCTCATGGCTGAACATGCACGTTTGCGGTTTCAAAACCACAACTTTGATTCTAATAACAGTATGGTGATTAATGCTCATACCTTCTCCCAAAAAAAGGTCTTTTTGGACGCTCAGCAGTGGGTTATATATATTATCGTCAAAAAACATTAAAAATTTAACGTCTGCCTAGAATACGATGTTTATTATTTATTTGACGATCCAATTAAAAATTGTCAATGAAAAAATACTGGGCATCAATGCCTGAAAATTAGGGATCAGCAAACACGCTCGTAAGCAATACGGTGCCAATTATAAGTCATTAGGCTAAATTATGATCTAATGGCGCGAACAGATAACCACTAGATACACAACGTTATCGGCAATCATCGGAACAAACAAACAAACATAAATTAATATTGGATTTAACACGATGGTACGTATATCTGGTGGAATCCCGCGGTTGCGGTAGCAATCCCAACCTTGGGTACCGCGTCCCCTTGGAGCTGAAGGAACGGGTTTGGTTTTTAGTCGGTATGAGTCAGATATAGTCATTTTATGATTCGTTCGTCGTTTAATATCACAGAAATAATCTTTCTAGTATAACTAACTTTTATACCTATCTCTTGTCTTACTTGTACACATATTTAAAATTATCTAGTTTAGTTTAGGTTTTAAGTTACATTATATTACCAAAACACGTTACAAGATCACATTGTTATGAAGAGATTTGTAAATCAGCAGGAAAATATCACAGGACATGCAGATGATACAGAGATGACAGGACAGAAGCATTATCAGGATGTTCAAAATCGTTTTCGTACAGTTATCAGTTGAATATAAACTCCATAATTTAATTTTAATAGGTAAATTTCTGAATTGGAATTCAATTAATTACGTCAACGTAGAATGCCAGAAGCCCCTGCAGAGTCCAGAAAAACTAGTTGTTGTTTTATTTGTTTAACAAGCAAAACTGTCATTTATTTACGTTCTACGTAAAGTTTGTGTTGGAGCCCAACTTATTATTTCCATTAGGTGGATGGATTGGAATGACCTGGGCCAACTAGCACTGCGTATTTAAACTTCAATCCTAACTCAAATTTACTATTACGTAGTGGATACAAAACTCTCCGAATTTCCGACCCGCGAGAGAACTCGATGGCAACTTTTGCATACTCAAACATGATTTATTTTCAACTTATTATTTTATTTACGTGGCATTTAATTTTTACTCATATTTCTCTTAAAATACATGACCTAAAAGTATGATTAAACAAGGAATGTAGTATTATTACATTTTAAGTCATAATAGAAACAACGAAAACATTATTTTAACTAAATTATAATTAAAACTCCTGTCTGAGGCAATCACATAACTTTTACTATAGAGTTGCAACACTATTCGACTATCCGCTAGAGACAGGATTGCCAGCCAGTGGCCAATTTAGTTGCAATGGAAAACTTTTTGATAACAAACAAAACCTATTTTAAATAAAAAAAATATAGCCTATTTTTAAAATGGCAATTTTTGGAGTCAGCTTTGTTTTTGGTTCTTGCACTTCAGACAACATTGTAGACGACCTTAATGTTATTGCAGCGGTAAGAGCACTCTTTGACGAGAAGAACAAAGAAGCACCATATCGCTCTCAGCTTCCTGACGCTAGTACTTACCGGACCAGGAACCGTTTTTGGATTAAACGGTAGTAATCACCAGGGTTTTATCATTGCGAGGACCACTTAAAGGAACGATCTCTCGCGTCCGGCATAGTACAGGCCATGGTACGGAATGAAAAGGACTAAGAAGCCGTCGTCTCCTTCTGCGTCATGATTTTAGTATATGGAAATGGAGCAGGTAAGGAAATAATCCTCCTTATGTCCCAGTTGCTGTCTATTGCTCTGGCTGCTACCAGGTGTCGGGGATAGCGTGACGACATGCAACCTCAGAGAGTGCAGTTTTAATAGCCCTAAGGATATATAATAAGGTGTACACCTATCCAGTTTAAAATGCCGCAACACAATTTGAACGATGCCCGGCTATACACATTTTTTCCTTTAATTGAGCATATCAAATTCAAAACTACCTTACTCATCCGCAGAGATTACTCACAAACAATAGGGCAACGCTAGAATGTATAAAAATTAGTCAACTTCCTAACTCCTCCAAAAGATGTCATAAAAGCCGTCAGTTGTCAGTGACAAGGCAGGGTCTTTGAGAACCCTGCTGGATCCATCCAGCCATCTCGAGGAGTTTCTCAACCAAGAGTCCTGGCCGAAACGTGTTGTGTATCGCCAGTTTCATGACATTATTAAGACACACTATGACGTCACTTCATTTGCACTAGTTTTAGTTATTATCTATGTTTATATCATAAAGCTGTTGAGATTTTTTGTTTGTTTGAACGCGCTAAACACGGGAACTACCATTTCGAATTGAATCATTATTTTTGTGTTTGTTAGTCCATTTATTGAGGAAAGTTATACGTTCCATTAGCAAATAGGAGTCAATTGACGCCTCAAATAGGCAACCGCAGACGGCGCCCTGTAGGCGTAATCTTCAGCTGGGATTGCGGGTTAAGCGAAATGTGTCACCGCGGCCACGGCCCAGAGCAGGAGAAGGAACGGGGCGTTTTTAGTCAGTAAGAGTCTGACACTCTCACTCGCCTTGACCTGGGCGGAAGAAGTCATTTGATAATTTTACCCTGACAAAAAATAAAACAAGGAGCAGATTGACCACCACAGACGAGGCTCAAAAAGGCCGATGTTGAGATGGGATTGCGGGAAAAGGAACGGGGGTGCATTAGTCCGTACGAGTCTGACACTCCCTCTCGCTTTACCCTTAGCGAGAAAAGCCATTTGATGATTTTCTTCATATGAACACATATAAACACTTTTTTTATAAATTATTTAGGAGTATAGGTACCACCATTTGTTATTGCGTAAAATCAAGATGTCTAAGCATCGGGTTATACAAAAAAAGTTTGTCGCCTTGTTTCATGTATGTGCCATGTACTATTTATTTTACTAAGGTGTTTCTCTATTTATCCTCAATTAGTCGTTTACCAAATTAACTTCATATACCATCTTATTTTATTTAATAATTATATGTTTAATAAAAGTAAAAATAAATCTTTATCTAAAATTGACATTTTTCCGTACTGGCCATTTCTATTAAGACAATGTCATTTTAAAATCAAAACAATTAGGTTCTGTATTCAAAATGACGATTTTAGAAAAAGGGTTTCTATATTTATATAATAAAAATAACTTGAAATTAGATTTAATTTCTCAATTAAAATTGCATTGTGATTTGAAATTGCCATTACGGCAGAATGGCAGATGCCTATGTATAAGTTTTTTAGGTTTTGCTATTATCTGAACAAATATTGAACTATTTAAAAATAACGTCTTACTACGCTTTTGTATGGAATAGTAGGCTTACGAGCAGACGGATCACCTGATGGTAAACGATCGGCGCCGCCCATGGACATCTGCAACACCAGAAGACTCACAGGTGCGTTGCCGGCCTTTTAGTGTTATGCGGCCTTTTAATTTTAACTTACCTCGCCATTTTTGGACCTTTATGCATTTATTGTAATAAATAATTACTATGAGAAAGAGAAATCAAAACTACATTTATATATATACTATCTAACTGCAAGCTACAAAGTTTCATAAATATCATTTTGAAACAGGACACGATGTTCTAGGTCTATGGGTTTCTATTGGTTTCCGTTGACATGCCACTACCACGTGCCCTAAATTCTTACCAAGTCCATTTTAAAAAGAAACTCGTGTGACGTTAACACACTATATGAGTATATTACCCCCATCCGTTATGCTTGGTGCATTTTTGCTTATAAGTAAGTTATGGTACCAGCGCTACACTACAGGTCTCACAAGGTCTCGTGGTGTTTGAGGGCAAAATCTGATTAACAATACGCTTTCGGCAGTATGGAGCGTGCTGCTGATGCATTTATAGAAGCTCGAGGCCTTGAAGATTTTCTTCGTGCCGCGCTAATAAAGTTATATACGATTTTAGATTTAAATTATTGTTGTAGCTAGTGACAGTATTTACTTGTTACAGATATATTGATCTCCTTTCTTATGAATTAAATTTATCGACTTTTCAATGCATATTTTGGTAATCTGTTACAAATGAACATCGGTTACAACAGGTCATTTTTATTATTATTATTTATTTATTGGTTCCTCGTTGTTTAGACATGAGTAATTCTAAAGGTAACTTGAAATAAAATAGGTAACAATCACTTACAGGATAAGTAATATTTTAAATTATCTTAAAAGTTAAAGTGTGAATCATCTGTGTCTAATAATTGTAGTAATTATTAACAACCCCACAAATTCTCACATAAGGAGGATTGGGGCCTAAAACTGTTCCCTGCGGTAGACGCAGTGATGTAATCAGGCTGCAAGGAATTCTTGAAGGTGCACGGAAATCGAAAGTGCCCTGTATTTGTGGACAGTCAATGTTCTGAGCCATAACTTTGCATACAAAACGTAGTTTCAGTTAGACGAGGGCGTTTGTCTAGATAAATAATTATTATAAGTATTTATGTATGGAGCCAATTTTCAAGAAATTAATGCATGCTTCGTGACATATGATGTCTGTGACGTAACTTCACTACGTGCTATTACTTGCAAAATTATTTACAAGTATATCATCAAGTTTTAGAAATATTGATATTGTTTGAAAAAAATGTTTAGTTGTATTTTTCATTATAAGGTACCGTCTGCTGGAAAACGTCTACCACTGAACAAAAGAATTTCCTCATCCCTCCATGTAGAATGAAAACTATCTACAACTACTTATGGAAAATTTAGATTTTTTACTAGACCAAATATTTTAATGACCCAAAATTTGGCGTAACAAAAACATTATATTCACTTGAGGAAAAACATAAGCTGACTAATAATGGTCCAAATATGTCGGTCCATTATGCGTCATCTTGTGTTATATTTATAAAATAGATCCCTAATCTATACTCACACAAATGTTATGAAAATATTCGATTTAGATCCGTAAACTTTCATACCGTCATAAGCCGTATTTAAGGCTTGAGTGAATAGGTTGCATATCGGTAGGCTACATCGTAGGTTGCATCACCGCTTACCACAGCGAAATAGCGGTCAAACGCAATTCCATTATAAAATAAAACTACTCGAACAAACCCAAAAAAATCTCTCAGATTCAACAAATAATTGCATGTTTATAAAAACAGAAGTCCAAAAGGATTTTTGTTTTAAAAGTCTAAACCGAATCATTTCGGGATCCGTATTTGCATTAGATACTAATTTTGGACAGCGAATTAAAATAAAGGTTTTTCAGTTAAACAACGCACCCCGACTAATGTTCTCTGAATAACATTTATGTAAATCTGTTTTGCAAATTATTCTCCTTTTTTTATTCGCCTGCCTTCATTGTCTCGTGGCATGGGTCGAATTCCTTTGTTTTATCGATAAACAAAGAATCGTTTGGTTCATCTCTACAATAAGCTAAATACTATGCGGACAAGAGACGTATAAAATATGCTGAGAATTTAATGAACGAATTAATTAAAATATGTTGGTATTGCGATTGTATAGAGGTTATCTTTTTAACAATAAATGTAAACCAGTTTACATTTTTTTCTGGAGTTCCAAGAGTAGTAATTTACAGTCACCACTACCAGGGCCGAGCCCTGGCCCGAAGCAGAAGAAACGGGCTGGTTTTTAGTCAGTGAGAGACCAATACTCCCTCTTCTTACTGGGTGGGAGAAGCCATGTGATAATTTCAAGATACCTTCTTGAAATTATCACATGGCTACACCTAAAGTATTTAAACAATACATAAATTGTTGAAAGAATTTTTCAATTAAAATTGTCATAATATTTTGCAACTCATGACGGTTTCCATTAAATATTTATTTAAAAAATTACGTCAGAGTAAAGTTAATGCAAAATATGAAAGCAATGTTGATTAAATCTCCGTACTTTAGCTACTTACATGTGTTTTCGTCATAAAAACTTTGAAGTAACGAGCATCAGCTTCAGTATCATGTTTCCAACTTAAATTACACATTCTCAAAGGATTCGCATCATCGGTGAGAGCGAATACTTTAATAACTTATTAATCAAATTCTGCATCACAGGTTTCTGTCATAAACATTAGATTCTCTAAAATTTTACTCATAACATATCAATGTCAAAAAATATGTTTAAATTCCAGTGACTTTTTAATATTCCATTCATATTTTAAAATATTCCATATCCCAATATACATGTGAATTTAAAATTAATTAACAAAAATCTATCTATGAATTTAAAGGCTAATAAGGAAATATCTACAGCATAAAGTAATTTAATACACGAAACGGCCAAGCTTCGTGACGATCGGACCAGTTGGACCGGAGCGATACCACAGCCCAAAAAAAACCAACGTAAAGTAACGATTGCATTGTTTCATCGTGTAAGTGAAGTTACCGGAGGCCCAATCCTTCCCCTCCCCCAATCCCACTCAAATCCTTAAATCTCCAAAACTTCTTATCCCTTAAAATCAAATGACTTCTCCCGCCCAGCGCCGGGCGGGAGTGTCAGACTCTTACTGACTAAAAACCCCCCTGTTCCTTCTCCTGCTCTAGGCCGAGGTGCCTCATTGCGCTTACCCCGCAACCCCGACTGAACATCAGCCCTATACCTGGTCGGGCGGCGTGTTTCCCTTACTCGCCGTCCGCAGACCTGCGCTTACGGTGGCCGGAGATCATTGATCGTAGGGTGCGTTTCATAGCAATCAGGAAAATTGTGGCTATCTATCATTGCAATAATTTTGTAAATCTGTCCAGCTATTCCAAAGATTACCCCCTACATGCAAACTTACCAATTATATCTGATTATAATATTTGTACCTATAGACGAAATAGAGGAGTATATTACTTAAGTGAAGAAATAAAATTAAAAATGTGTTAGTAAAAATATTGGTTTACCCTTACCTTTATTGAGTTTACTTACTTAACACTTTTCATCCATGGTTACTGAGATGGAGCCAACACAAAAAAAAATGGTTTGTATTTTAGTTGTTCCAATTTCGATCCTGAATTGGCATAAATAAGAGAAAAGAAATGTCTCGTGTCTTAGTGCTTTCTTAAAAATCAGTGAATTGTGATGAATGTACACGGCACATGTAATTGGAGTCATGAAAGTGTTTTTAAAACCTTTACATTGCTACTTCGAATGTTTGGCGTAGTATGATGTCGTTTTCGATTTTGTTTTCTTGAATATTATCTAAAACATACCTAATTTTGTTTCACTGAACTTTTGACCTTTACATATCATTATCGTGTACATCTCCATTTTGCTATAAAACAATATTTTGGAATATCGGTGGACGAATTTATAATCCTAATACTAGTATTACGGGTAATATTTATTTGATTTTTGTCAAAACAGTTAAAGAATTCATATTAGAGTTACAAAGGAGTGGCTACTAGCTGTGATGTTAATAGGTATGATATTTCGGATCTAAATACAAAAATAAATTATTATAATAGTTATCGCTGCTTGATAACTATTTATTTTTATCGGATTACCAACCTTTCAATTTAGGTTACGGATCTGAGATTGAAATATAATAAATAAAAGTAGGTAACTCGTCATCTTCCTGCCCTTGTCCCGTTTTATTTGGGGTCGGCGCAATATGTTTTTTTCTTCCATTCTGTCCTGTCACCCGTCACGCTATCACTAACTCCTCTGTCTTCCATATCACTTCTCACACAATCCATCCATATTTTCTTTGGTCTCCCTCCAAAGTCTCTCTTTCTTGAGTCTCCCTCTCCATCCCTCCACATTTATACTCATGACTTTTTTTGATAAAGTTGATCCTGTTGTTGTTGCTCTTTTACAATAAAATAAATAAAAGTAACTTATAAACGAATTTGGTTCTGTTATGTCGAGAAACAACAAAGTTTTAAATTCACGTGAACAACAAAACAGCGGTATCCGAAACTATCTAAAACTATTGATACGGTTTTGGTTACGGAAGCATTATTATCAGATAGTTCGGGCTACCGTTACGGAGCTCTATAAAAATAAAATGAAAATAAAAAGTGTTTAAGTAGATTGGAAAGTAATAAAAATAATCATATTAATAAATACAATAAATAAAACAATGGCATTTTCAGATTTATAAAACGTAAAGATTTAAAAAACATAAAGAAACTAAACTATTTTAGCAATGTAAAGAATTGTACCTAGGTATTTTTCAATGACGAAATAATCAACATTTCTTTTACCGCTGTTTCTTCATATAGTATTTTCAATATCATAATAATAGTTACAGTGTGTCGTATTTTTATTTTGACCTTTTCGACTTGTTATGTAAGTTTGCGTAGGTCCGTTGGTGTCGGTACTGCACATAAAACTTGCATGGTGCAATTCATATGCAACCATCGAGGCAAGCCGTTAGCATGCAGTTTGCAGTAGCTTCATCGCCAATCTAGGCTCAAACAGGTTTTGTTTGTTCTATAAGCACCAGACCTTTGGTCAACCAGAAATAAATGACCACACAAATGTTTTCACATTTTTTTATTGGGATGGTATATAAACAAAACAGAAAAATCTGTTTTACAATAAAATAATTCAAGTATGGCAGTACAAAAGTGCATTAAAATGGCTAATCCATTTAATAATGCCTTCGTTGATAAGGTACCTATCAAAATGCATTATAGCTGGTTGAAACATCATCTAAGCAAGGTCAGAATGGACTTCATTAGAATTTTTAGCATTTCCAATAATGGCTAGGCCGCTATCCAGAAATTCTAATATTTTCTTAAACACTATTTCATCAGCACGAGCTCCCCAAACGAACTCAGTGTGGCTCATATTTCCACCTCGAATAATGTAGTGGTCAATTGGATTTACTATACTAAAGTATAACCTTAGTACATCGGGAATAGTTGCCAGCCAGTCTTCACTGGAACTGAACAAAGCGATGGGTAACGTCACCTGATTGAGGCGAAACTCTTCATACACATTATTGTACCTGTGAAATTTTCCAGTTTTCACCAACTGGGCGTAGTGCAATATCGTGTCCGTCGAGCCACCAGCTGGTACGTGGTATAGCAATCTTGCAAGAAAACTTAGATTCCAAGCGTGGTTGTCTTCCGGTATACCACCACTGACAAAGTATAAGGGGTTGCAGCAAAAGAGTAAGGGACCTTTACAATATTTTAACGCAAGCCATTTTGGTATTTTTCGTGTAGGCACGAATTCCTTGTTGCCTATAAGTTTAAGGAGTTGTTCTGGTGGGCTAGAGGCCATAGCTGTCAAAACTTTAAACGGTCCTTCAACATTTCCCATGAAGACAAGTGGTGCGAGTAGAATACCAACTCTTAAATACTTATTATATTGAGGATTTGTAGATAGTAATACCAGTAAGGCCGTAGCACCCATGGAGTGGCCTATGAAATCAATCGGTTCATCACTCTTTTTAATATTTCGGATATAGTCGATAACTGCCGATAGATCGTATTCTCCCATTTCTTGAAAAGAAAACCTCCAGAAAGAATCTGAGTCTACGGCCATTTTGACATGACCACGTGAGTAGTAATTTCCCCTCGCGTTTGCCATCCAAACGTCATAGCCGGCGTCAGTTAAAATGTATGGAAGAGATTTTTCAGGTCCTAACAAAATCCAATCCGCAGAACTGCCAAGTAAACCATGATGAAGTATCACTGTCTGGTTAACTACTATTGAGTCCGCACTTCGGTCCATTCGCGGTGATATCCGATGTAAAGTTAGCAGATAACCGTCTTTTGTATGAATGATGTGTGATTCTACTCTCCTGCCGTGCAGCGTCGCCAACTGTGGCGTGGACATGAGTGCAGTTGGCTCCGATTTAAGATTGATATACTCTGGTATTTCTGTTTCATTCTCAGCTGCTGCCTTCTCCACAAAGTCGTTGAAGTTCGAAGAACCTCCAACATGGTGTAGCGTCGGCAGTCGTAACACAGGGTGGGTATTGCCCGTAGCTATTAGATTTTGCACTTGGGTCCTTATGCTTATGAAGGTTTTTGTTACTGTATCAGCAATGTCAGTTATCTTGGCCACAATATAGTCAAATATTGGAGTACAGGTCACTTTTTGATTGAAAGATATTAATATAAAAAAAGTCAATATTGAAACCTTCATGATCACACACACGTCCTTTAGAATAGCGCTCGCGTAACTGATTAAGTATTACTTTACTATCACAATCGTAGTTAGATACTTCTTCGACATATTTACAAAATTGAACAATGGACAGGACCTTATATTTTGTAACACTTTTCATGAGTCATTTATTACATTGTTTTGAGTACCATCGATAAATGTTTTAAAACATTCAAATAAAAAACGTAGTTTACTTGTAACACTGACACACAAAAGAGAACAAAGGTCTTAGCATTTTGTGCACATAGACTTATTATCTTCAACATTTAGATGAAAGTTTTCCAATGTCACTTTTAAGCAATTATCTTGTTTGTATTCTAACATATCACTGGTGACGATCCGATAAACATTTTCTTTGATTCCGTATCACAAACCGTATTGGCGACTTTCCGCCTAGATGATTTGCCACTGATTGCGCATCCAGACTGAGAATAACACAGCATGCACATATCTCAATAGCCCTTTGTTTGTCCAAATAAGATACAACAACGCTATTGTTAAAATTGTCTTCTGTAAACAAACAATTACATAGTTTAATTCAGCTGCAAAAATACGATTGATAATAATGAGTAATACATAATTTGTTGCCGATAACTTGTCCCACGTATGTCAAAACATAATAAATGTATTAGGCTATCTAATGAAATATAAATCACACAACAGAAACGTATCTTATAATAAACATTATTTAAAACAAAGAAGCAGGTCAAAAGTATCCCATACGATTATGCGGAAAAATTAAATATACCAACATCAGCGAGGAACTTCGGCTCTCGCTCAGTTCGAGAGAACTTTCTTTCTTAACGACGTAAACAATTTAAATGTAATGCAATATGCAGACCGCGCCGGCGACTCCAGCGCCCCGACTTTCACCCCAACACCCCTCTACCTGCGTCTTTATAAAAAATTCACCCTAATTCCGAGCCCAGAGCGTTCACAAACCTTACACTCCAAACTACTCTAGAATCGCCACTAACTCCATATCTTGGGGATTATTTCACTTTGTTATAGCCGCCTTTATCCGTTAACACTTTCTCTATTGTTATTCCTGGAATATTTCCTTGAATAAAAGATGAGGTCAGGCTAATAATTATTACTTTGATAAGTGGTATTGGCCGTAGCGTCTTGCCTAAATCAATAATTGAATTAAACATTAGATCGCTAGTCGCTGAGCTATTCGTAATTACTGGCCTTCCGGGAAAGGCTACAATTAAATATTTCTTATATTTATCGATTTGTATTTTCAGAAATTTCACATTGAAAATGTCTTACAACATATGTTGGTACATATTTAACCTTGCTAAAATTGAAAGGCGAAATGGCTAAAACACATAAAGGTAGTACAATTACACATATTTTTTTTAAACAAGTAGGTACATATAATAATAGAAGTAGATATAATTATTATGATACACCAATATGAACTTTAAGTATGTACATTAATAATATAATCTATTCTCGTAATTAGTTTATATTCCAATAGCGATATGGAAGAGTTCACAATCTTTGTCAACGTTTTAAACTCTCTTTTCAAACAAGATTTAACAAACTTGTTTAGATAAAGGTTCACTGATTTTGTCTTACTACCGCAATGATATTCTATCGTAATTTTATAACAATGTAGCGGCCCATCCTCCATTACAAACATATTCAACGTACAAATGGCAATTAGATAATCTGTAATAAAAGACACGAAGTTTGTTTAAATGTGAGAGCAACGAGAGTGGAATGAGGCAGATCGAGCAACCAACATTGAACTCATGCAAAATGCAGTGGCACACCTTTCCCCTCCTATTTGGTGCGGCCCACGGAACCACCCCCATTTATAAATGATTCGGAGCTCAATTTCACCCGCACTCGCCCACTGGAATATTGTTTGACTTGTGGACGTACTGAGTGGACTCCTGGTTTTTACACGTGCATTACTGTCCGAAATAAAATATTTTTATTTTTCGTTCAAGTATTTTATTAAACAACGGCCTTCGTGAACAGTGTTGTACATGGAATTGAGTGATGTGGCTTTTGTTCCATGTGGTTGGGCTCGTCTAAAGAGAATAAATAAAATGTGGCTTGCTACGTAACACTTGATTTGCAGCTTTAAAACATTAGTCAAAAGGGTCTTTAAAGTTTTGGTAATACTATTGAGCCAGCAATATCGTTTGTTTACTTTATCACATTTCGTTAAAACTGTTTGTGTTACGATCACTTGTATTGACATTATTCGCTATTCAGTTTATTGTCCAAGAACTTCAAGCTAACTCAATATTTTCTATTATAAATAGATTGGCTTTGTAACACTAAGAGATAATTATCAGACAATTATTAAGGTAACCTACGTCTAAAAAGAATTACTGAAGGGTGGGATTTCGCATTAGGTAAATGAAAAAAATGGCCTGTCTTCCTACACTAATAAGGGCAGCCATAGAAATAAGTAGAGAGTACTGAGGACCAGCAAAAAGCTTCAAGTAAACCATCCCTAATTGAATTTCAACTGAACATCCTTTCGAGAAGTTCATTAGACACATTCCTAGAAAAACATCAAGAGATCTATCGGCGTATCTATGGGGATCACCGTTAAAATTAATTGAAGTCCTACTACGTTAGAATCTATCAACTAAATAACAAAAGTAAGTAAAGTGTAGGAGAGTCATGCTTCGGCATGAATAGGTTGGCTCGATCGGAGTGAGATCACGGGCTCACAAGAGACCGGAGACGCTGATTGCTTACCATCAGGAAATCGGCCTGCCTATGTCATGAAAAATATTAATTTTTGTTACATATTAGTTACAAAATAATTTCAAATACACTCGTAGTATACAAATTGTACACAATTTTGTACTAACTAGTTTCGTCGCTGCGATCCCGCTTTTGATAAACTAGGTTACGTTAGGACCCACTAATTTATGAGTAACTGGTTTATCGGGAAATCGCGTGTAGCCAGAAGCTGAATTATAGAAAGCGCAACGACATGCAAATATTGGAGATACCATCTGCCACATCCGACATGTAGGTTAATCGGATGGGTTACAAACCCGCGTTTTATAAACGAGCTATTTTTTCAAATATCACCCTAATTTGTGTAACAGTGCGATCCAATTTCGATAAATACCGTCTTAACCTAGCTTCCACGTGTAAAATACATTTAACAACACCAATATTGGTATAGGTAGGTATAGCCGATGCAAAAAAGAATGATTTGGGGTGCAAAAGTAAAATTCAACTCTATCCAGTACTTTTATATGTTCACATAATTATACAAATTTATACTCATCTTGCCTCTACTCAAAATAGCGCCATAACCGCAATTTGATTTTGAAGACTATAAAAGAAATACTTTGCCTAATGAACCGGTATTTGCTTAACAAAGAGGACGAGGTGTAGTACAAATTACTATAATATTATCATTATAACATGGCATTGTGATAGTATCTACATCCTGGAAGCGAAAGTTCGAGAGTTCGTATTTGTACAACCAGATGATTGTTAAGTAGTTCCGCCTATTGTTATAACTGTCACAAGGTACAGGTATACCGTATATCTATTGTCTTTCTTTTGTTTAACTTTTATTTGACCGATTATTTTAAGTACTTAGTGTGGACTTATGCCATTTTGATATTTCAAATTGATATAAATAACACTTAAAGACTAACATGACATGCAGTTAAGACGGATTAAGTATTTATAAAGTAAGTACTAGCTACTCTCACGCCGTTTCACCCGCTGCTTGGCTCCATTTGATCGTAGAGTGATGTTTTATAGCCTGTAGCACTCGGGAACACTGTAGCTATCTATCAATGAAAGAATTTTGGCAATCCGACCAGCGAATCCAAAGATTTCCCCCTACATACTAACTCACAAATTTACCTCTTTATAATATTAGTATAGATACAATATTTTATATTTTTATATTTTACCAAAACTTTTTAATTTTTAATACTTACAAAATTAAATAATGGAGTTAATTACTCATACAATATGGACACATAAAACATGTAAGTTTAAGTTTAAAAAGAATGCAGCGCACACCCATTAAAATACAAAATTAAAAACATAATCTCGTTGATGTAGGTACGCAAAAAATTGTCCCGTCCAGCTATCCTTTGATTCCAAATTATGGAAGGAAAATGAAACAAGAGTTTTGTAATCAAAACGAGGATACCTTCACGCCATAGTAGCTGTGTGACACTGATACGTACATATCTGTTTCATTTCAGGTATTCCCTACTCGAAGCGTCAAATCAAAACCGATACGATCGAGATTGAAGCAGGCTACACTGTTATTAGGTTATGGTATGAAGTTAGACTACCGTGAACAGTGAAGGCTTGAATATTTTCCTGAATAATATGATTTTAAATTATAATTGTGTTGAGGCGTTAACGGACTCCCTCAGATACCATTATTTTAGCTGCAATACGCTCCCATACATTATCCATATTGTCAATGTTGCTTAATATTTAAAGAACTCTTAACAGACCTAGCTAACATAGAGAGACACACGAATGACCTTGAAGCCGTTTGGTGACTTACAGCCTCTTGAACAAGCCGGTTTTCAAGGTGACCACATTCACTCGTTACCTTAATAAAAAAATCACCTATCATCTAATTAAATTAAATCAGCTATTTTAAGTAGTTTGTATATATTTATGGATTATGGACTGTAGAAACCTCACGATCAAATTCTACGAGGATAGAGTAGCAGGGTCTCCGAGCATGACATATCGATACACACATCATCAGCTTATTAGTGCCCACTGCTGAGCAAAGGCCTCTTCCCACAAGAAAAAGGTTTGACTATTAATTACCACGCTTGCTCAAGGCAGATAGGCGGTTTCAAACTCACGATATTTTCCTTCACCGTTTGTCAGTAGTGTCTAAATAATCATAGAAAGTACATATATCTCAGAAACAGTCACATAGGTACTTGTCAAGATTTGCATGATGGTGCTCATGCAAGTGAAGCGGGCGCCTTAACCTCTGGTCCACCACGACGTTTCGACCCTCCAATTTTTCCCATATTAATAAAAAAATGAGGTATTAAACAAATTTTTCATAAATTTGTGCTCCGTGATCTTAGCATTACACTGGATGCATTTTAGCAGGTGCATTTTAAGATCAATGAGAAAAAACAATTAGGTTATCTACATGGTTAGCGCTATGGCTGGGCAATGAGTTGCAGGTTCGATTTGCGCACGAAATAACACTTTGTATGATCCACAAATTGTTGTTCCAGGTCTGGGTGTGATGCTTATCTGAATTCGTAAGCAGCAGATCAGCTAGTTGTAAGCATGACGTAGCCGTCGCCTAGCCGTAGTGTTTCGACGCGATGGAGGTTTTGATCTGCATACGTTAATGACCGTCTTTATTACGTGGGTGACCATCCTTTCCTGAGTTGATATATCCTAACGGCCTGTGCGCAACCTCCCTCGCCTAATTATTAGCTGCAGTGACCTCCCGTACGTACGCATCATATTGCTAGAATTCTACGATGAGCAAATTACATACAACAAAATAAGTGCATATTTGCATGCGCGACGTTCCTCCGTTCGCAAGGAATAATGACTTCCTGCAGATTTTTGGTATAAAAATATCCACTGTCCTTTCACGAGTCCCAAACTATTTCTAACCAAATTTCACAGAAACCGGTTCAGTAGTTTAGGCGTGAAGAAAAGACACACAGACAGAGTTACTTTCGCATTTATAATATTAGTTTGGACTGGACGCGAGTATGTAAGTTATGAACGTTTGGCTGGTGTGTGCGAACTTCTTTTTTTATTTCGACCCTGTCATTCCCTTGGCCTTCGGGAAAAACGGACTCTAGCAAAGATTTTCACTTATTAGCGGTTCTGAAACCAAGATCCCAAAACTAAGTTGTTAGAGTGGTTTAGATTACAATATTATGAGGGGTTTTTATTCATATACCTACAACGATAATATAATTTAAAACGCACACTCACACACACAATTATTGTAACACTGAAAAGTTGAGAGATGTAAATGAATTATTGCTTTATATCAGTACTTAGGTGTACCAATAAACACAGACCAAATCGTAGCTTGAATGAGCGCCTATTATACTTCTGAACCAACATTTACAGCCTTATAATTCAAACCACTCGTAAAATTTACATCAATTAATTGAATCTTTCAAATAAACATTTGAAGGATTTCTACTTATTCAATCAACAAATTAATTCGTACTAATCCGATGATTCTTGCTTATACAGATATTTGGAGCTAATTAGTCTTGTTCCAATTATATGTTCAATGTATCATTCAAAAGCCATTTCCACTCATTGAAATGTTTTGAACATGTGCCGCTTGGCTTTTGTCCATTTACGGATACAAAATTAATATAATATTAGCGAGGGCTTCGAGCTAAATAACATAGTTTGTGTATTGAAATTAAACGCTATACGTACCTACCGAAAATAAGCAACATAAGCCGGTGTTTGAATTTAATTAAAGCGGTACCTTTGAGAATATTATTTAATTAGCGTGAAGTATGATTTTACCCTTATTTCGTTTTCTGTAATCGGCCGAGGTAAAATAATAATTTATGATTTCATTAATGCCTGCTTTATGCTGCAGAAAACACTGATTTTAATTCTTTTTTTATTTAATAAACTTAAACTCGTCTGTTTTAAAACAATATACTAGCGAACCGTCTCTTTTTCGCACGGGTGCAATTCAAATATTTAATTCCTCTTTTTAATGGATGTTATTAAACATAATAATACACTTCATTTCAACCACTATGTCTTTTAAAAAAATTGCATCAAAATAAAGATTCATATTTAAGCAAACAAAGGGATATAGGAACAATGAAAGCTACTTTTTATTATACTGTTATGATATGTTGTTAATATAAAAATATATACCTACCTATTGCCATATCCAGGAGATTAATTAAATTAATCGAAAAGTAATGTTATTAGCGATTTGTTTTAAGAATATGTAATTAAGAAGTAATGTGTTGCACAAAGTTGATATATATACTTTGTGTATAACCATAACCATTTAATTCGCTACATAGTGACTAAAATACTTACTTTTACATTAATTAGCTCTATCGTAAGCCTTCCAGTATTAGACAAAGAGACCAGCGTACTTTTTATTTTGTCTGTCACTAAATGTACAACGTTGAATAATTTACCTACTCACGCGAATAGGAGTATACTGTATACTTTTGATTTTGAGTATACTGTATTAAGACAAATTTTGTCTAGTTTGAAAACCTAAAGTAAATTTTGGGCCATATTATTTTAGAATGTGTTTGTTCGTTTGTTCCCGAGTTATCCTAACAGCCGATGAAGAAATACATATTTATAACCGGTGGCTATTTTTAACTTTATTAGATATGTTCTATCGCTGATTGCTGTATTTTTTGTCACTAAGTTGACTTCAATGCAATGAAAATATGCGCTCGCTGCGGTTTTTTTTTCAGAGGGGAATCCTCAAATGAATTCACCCTCCCAGGGTGGGGCGAGAAGGAGTGCCCGACTCTTATTGACTAAAAAAGCCCCCTATTCCTTCTCCTGCTTTAGGCCCCAGCCGCGGTGCCTCATTGCGGTTAACCCACAACCCCGACAGAACATCAGCCCTACGGGCCTACGAAGGAAAACATCGTGATGTAACCGAATTCTTAATTATATTCGCATTGAGCAAGCGTGATGATTAATGCTCCAACCTTCAGATGGTGGGAAGTAGCCTTTACTCAGCAGTCACTTATAGGCTGACGATGATGATTATATTTCTGTGATATGTAATTGTATACAAAGTAAATATTTAATTACTTTTTCACTGCATAGCATAATCTATTTTCTATCTGAAAGCTGGCTTAGACTATTTACGATAATAATACGTCCAACCAACTGCTTAATACGTCATTTTAGGACATCCTTTTGACTTATTTTATACATTATATTAATGCCATTCTTATATTATTATTAGTTCTAAGAGTACTTTGTCCACGGATGGCGTCGGCGTCGATACAGGATAAACAGTATTTATACGAAACTAATTTTAATTTATAAGAAATACTAAACCAAGATGATGAAGTAGGTACATAAATATGTTTACTTTGTGATGGCTATATTTTATGATTCGACTTAATGTCAGTCGCGCTGATTGTAAATTTTTGTGACCGTTACTTTTCTTATTGTAACATATTGACACCTACGATGCGCTCACTGAAACTGTTCGAGGGTGACAAATCTCTTTGAGGCGCGCGCGGAACGCTACGCTTCGTGTGGTGTCTAAATACCTAATTATAGTACCTAAGTAGATATAACTCGGCAAAAGTCACATTGGTACTTGCCAGGTTTCTAACTCGCACGTCTAAACCACCACAACATGATTCTAACAAAATTCTATATCACTTTAAATCATCAGTTTGTAAATGCCTATTGATGAGCAAAGGCGTCTTTTGTAGATGTAACAAATGGAAACATTTTTCAGTTATAATCTCCAACACGTCTACTAAGCGGAGAGATTTTTGTAAGCCATCTTACTAAGAGGAGACCTACCGAATGTAAAACTAGAAAAAAACTTTGGTATTTAATTCGACTATTGTTTGTATGTTACGTAGAACCCGAGAGTTGCATTGCACTTCCAAAACTTTGATTGAAATGAAACTAGAATGAAGCGGAGTAATTTTTGATTAAACTTTCGCGCATTGCTTTCCTAGAAACTGTGCCGCGAGTCATTTATAATTCTCTGAATATATTTATTTGTTATTTCGCCGCCATGTTGGGTGAGTTTAAAGGGCAAGGCAAGTTGCATGTCCAGACTTCAGCGCTATTGTGAGGTAGGACAAAACGTAGTTGTGAAATCTATGTTTTCCAAAGAATTGTGCTATATGTATATGGCAATACACTCACCTCACTTGTAAAGGATTCTTAACATAATGTGTCAAAAAATGATATTTCTAATATTATTTACACAATTATTTTATTTTATAATAGCTAATCTCGCACGGTTTCACTCGCTGCTCGGCTCCATTTAATCGAAGCGTGATGTTTTATAGCCTATAGCACTCGGTAACATTGTATCTACCTATCAGTTAAAGAATTTTGGCAATCCGACCAGCGGTTCCAGATATTACCCCTACATCAAACATATAAACTTACAAACTTACAAATTTTACCTCTTTATAATAGTATAGATTTAGTCAACAATAACTACCTATCTAGCCAAGCTATAAGAGCCAAATCTTCTAACATAGTTACTGTTTGCCTTAGTCGATTCTATAGTGCGGAGCGAGAGAAACTGGGAAGCCGCGTGAGGGAACTATCCACCTCACGCCCCAGCCGCCACAGTTTGCGACTCCCCGGGCGTCAGAGATCGATCGACGATCTCCGGTCACCTTATGCGCGGGTCTCCGGACAGCGAGCAAGGGTAGCTTGCCGCCTGACCAGAACCAGACTCGAGGGTACGGCGCGTTGCGTTATACGCGCACCTCAAAGAGCCAATAGACCACCACAGATGGGGCCCTAAAGGGCTAACGTTTAATCGGGGTGGCGGCAAGTGCAATAAGGGTCCGCGGCCTTGGCCCTGAGCAGGAGAAGGAACGGGGGGTGTTTAGTCAGTAAGAGTCCGACGCAAGCTCGCCCCACCCTGGGCGAGAGAAGTCATTTGATGTTTTAACCCTCTTAAATGTACTTAATATAATCTTATTTTTTATAAAAAAAATAGGTACATTACTGATACTTACAAAAGGATTATTTCAACGACGTAATGTTATGCTTTGTTACAAGACACTGCGACAGGAAATTAAACTTCTGCACTTGTTTGTACAACACTCTCAGTTCATTATATTATCAAGAAAATATTATCTTTAATACATTTTGTATTTCTAAACACTCATCATTGAGTGTTTAGAAATACAAAATGTATTATACTTGGATTCGCCACAAATTTAGTAATTTAAGAATTGGTTACTAAAAACAATTGAAACTACACTTTTTAATATGTGTCTTTTATTAAAACTTATTTGTAACACTACATGCCGTATTTTAACCTTTTCATAGAATCTAACTTCTTACGAATATTATAAATGTGAAAGTTACGATGTTTGGATGTTTGTTTCTCAATCACGCCAAAAAGGCTGGACGCATCTGGACAAAATTTGGCAAGGCATAGGATACACTCCGAAATAATAGGCTACTTTTTATTAACATACCACGCGGGAAAAGCCGAGGGCGGAAGCTAGTTAAATATGTTTTGTAACGATTCATGGTTTCGAAATACCGTGTGACGTCACAATTAAAACCTTTTATTAGTTTTATCGTAGTATTAATACAAAATGTCTTTTAGTACCAAAATGTCAGACTAAATGAGTTTTTAATATTTCTAGATTTTTTGATGATTTCTTTATGAAGCAGTTTTTTTTCTGCATAAGAACCAGGAAGTATCTTATTATTTAAACGAATAATTGAAATCAATTTAGCTGTTCATGAATTATGCAGATGACAAGACAATTAGATGTGTAAACTCAGGTGGAGCACAACTGCTTTTTTTTTCATGTGAAAGGTCGCCAAACGAGCATACGGATTACCTGATGGTAAGCAATAAGCGCCGCCCATGGATACCCGCAACAACAAAAAAGGTAAGAGTGCGTTGCCGACCTTTTGGGGGTTAGGGATTTGGGAGATTTAGGAATTGGAGACGGATTTGGCCAGGGGAAGGATTGGCCTCCGGTAATCTCATTCACACTGCGAAACACAACGATGTGGTGTCTGAAACTGTCCTAAAATATTCCTATAAAACTTAAATGTTATATATTTGTACCTGATATTTCTTCAACTATCACAATCTTTCCACTTTAATACTATAAAAACAAAAAGAAGAATCATTAATATTTTTATTATAATTAGCATTGGGGTGAATACTAAACTGAGAGCAGGGATCGTTTCGAACTCACATAATTGAACCAACACGACGGGCTAAATTAGTTAGTGAAATATGCAGAACATTATTAAAGGCCTGCTTTATTTTGCCGTTTATTATTACCATTTTTAATTATTCATAATGGCCAAAGGGGCGAATGTCAAGGGGTGTGATGGTGACGCGTATTTTGGTATCTATTAGCTGTAGATTTTACTACCCACTGTATAGTTTATCAAACGACGCTATAGATTCAAATCGAATTCCATTCAACCTACAAATACACAAGTGGCACTAATCTTACATGATTGTAAAGCTACCTAACAGGTACCCGAGCAGCAACATAGCCATTTTAATTGTATTAATTTGTTTGAGATGGTTTGATACGTCCATCGAGTGGTCCACAAGTGCGTACATTCAAGAGCATGGCAAGGGGTTACGGATGTAATATCCACAAACACCCAAGCCAAGGCGTATTAATAAATCCTAAGTCTTACGTAGTAGCAGACGTATTATAGCACTTAAACCTCAATTCTCGCCCGCTGCACACTAATTGGCATGATATCGAACCAAAGCTGTTGATCATTAAGCCGTTTCGTTGAATGCAAGGAGGTATAATAATTTTGCGGTGGCGGCTTTGCTTTGTAACAAACGCAAGCCACGCGATATACAGATAGATTTCCTATTCATTTGATGGATTTAACAAGAATGTACGAACATTCGAACGCTTTGCGTTTTCGAATTTTAAAATGTTTTGAAACGGTAGACGTTTTAAAAGGTTTTTTTATTTGTTTCTACAGATTTGAAGTAGCTAATTGGGGTGCATCCCAGGCACACGCTAATTCGTCGAATGAATGGACTGAAGTTTCGTTAATCAGGTGGTTTAAAAATGTCAATACCTACCAATCCGTAGGATACCATTCCAGGCGGCAACATAACAAATCTTTTTTAGGCAACCACTAACTAAAATTTAAGAACATTTATAAAAAAAATCTTGTACTTTAATCACATATTTTCTATATCAGTCATAGTATGTGTATTTAAGTAATTTTATCCACACTAATATATTATTAGTTTGAAAATAATTCGAAGTATTTTTTTTGTCGTCATAGTACTGAAATGTATGTTCAAGTATATAGGTACTTTATAATATTAGTTATTAGTTTGTAGTTTTAAAGTGCACCTCGTAGTCCTCCGTTGGTAATTTCTATAGATTGCAGACTAAGGCTGCGATTCGACTGAGGCGGATGGATTTGGTTTGGAGCGAAGCTGAGCTGTGAGAGGTTGTGAGTGTTTCTAGTGAACCAGGCCACGATAGAGTGAAGTAAAGCCGAGCCTATCCGCATCACCTAGTGTGCAAGTGCCCAGTGACCCATGTAATGATAAAAAAAAACAAAACAGATGTTTTGTAACTTTCACTACTTACTCGTAGAACGCAAGGAGTAGAAATAGAGGAGGAGTTACCAATGCGTTGCCGACCTTTTGGGGATTAGAGATTTGAAGATTTTGGGATTGGGGAAGAATCAATTTCAGAATGACATTCTCTGAGCGATTTTATACGTTCCGAGTTCCCATGCTAGTGAAGAATTTCCAAATGTTTTTTCCTCGATATAAAATATCAAGGAAAAAACCACTTTAATTCCACCCTAAAAGTGTTCTCGCTCTGTCTCTGGACTGGACCGCTATAGACTGAAGAACATATTTAGAGTTCAAGCCATGTGATCGGTAAATCGCGGCACAGCTTTTCTCAGCCTCAATGGAACCGCTGCCTTAGAATCATGGCGCACCGTCTCGACTTGACTTATTAATCTAATGAAAAATCAATCTACATTGATACTTTAATTAATTGAAGTTCTTCATAGTCTGTTGAACTCGGAGTTTGTGCAAAGGAAATAACAAAATAAACGTTTCGTACCTATAAAACCATAAACAATATTAATATTGTAACTATGTCTATGATGTAAAATATTTTTTTATAATAATATGATAGGTCGGCAAACGAGGAAACTGATTACCTGATGGAAAGCAATCAGAAGAGTTACGAGTGCGAGATTTTAGGATTTTGGGAGGAGAGGTAGGTGTATGATTGGACCTCAGGTGACCTTCACTCAGTCGGCGAAACACAACGCTGTGGTTGTTTCACTCTGGTTTTCTGTAATCTGTATGTATCTGTCTGTTTGGTTGATCCGGCCGTTTCGTACCGAAGCATGGCTCTCCCACACATAACATTTAGTAGTATTTATACTGTAGTTTACTATCATGAATTACATTGGATATAATTAACCAAAATTAGTACCAAGTAAAGAGGTGGGCGATAAAATAATTTGGCGGAAATGTTCTCCATCAATTAGGTCACATAACCGCACTTACTTGGACTGCATTATTTTAATGCAGGGAGGCCGCAGCACTCCACTCTACTTTATTATACAGTAAACAGCCTTAAAAGTTTGAGCTTTACTGTTAATTAAACATCCTACATCAATTAATTTATTTACGTACGTACATTTATTTCGGTAGTATGAAAGACTGACTTTATTTAGTGTAGGAGCCATGAAAATGAATGAATAAATGAGCTATCTCGACCGGCGTGATATCACGGCTTTAGAGAAAATTGGCGTGAAATAACGTTTGCTTCGCTATGTTAGTGAGATTCTAGACTCCCAACGCTTTCTTCGGTTATACGTCGTCGTGGCCTGGAGGTTAATACGCCCGCTTCTAATGCATGAGGCTGCGGGTTCGAAACCTGGAAAATACCAATGTGAATTTTTCCGAGTAATATGTACTTTCTATGATTATTTAGACACCGCTGACATACGGTGATGGTAAACATCGTGAGGAAACCTAGAATTATAACTTCAAATTATAAGTTTAAAATCGCCAACCCGCGTAGCAAAGCGCGGTGGTTAAAGCTCAAACCTTCTCTGTATAAGAAGAGGCTCCGTATTTACCCAACAGTGGGCACTTGAATGATGATGATGAATGCTTTCATGCTCCTCACTCACACTCCCAAATTCCTATCAACACCTAAAGTGCTGGCAACGCACTAGTAACTCCTCGGTTATTGTGACTATACATGGATGACGCCAGTACAGCTTATCATCACCTGATGATAGGTAACTGCATGTAAAGCATGTAGTTTGTAATACAACGGTATAGTTATTAAAGTCTTTCTTTAGTTTTAAATTTGCTAAAATTGGGAGTAGCTTTCATATACCAAAGTCAAAAGTCCTATGAATATTGTCCGTTTTTATACTTAACCTATCTTTTGTCTCCCCCAATCCTAAAATCTTCAAATCCCTAATCCTAAGAAGGTCGGCGACGCACTCGTAACCTCTCCGTTATTGCGGGTATCCACAGGCCACGCTGATTGCTTACCATCAGGTAATCCACTTGCTCGTTTACTGTCCTATAACTTAAAAATAGTCGGTGTTTATGAACTAATAGATGAACAGGCTAGTTTACTTACTATACGATTAAGAGGCATTCGATCTTCAGTAGACCTATAGCGTGGGAGACAAGAAACGTCCATTATTTTGTCCCTATAATTAATAATCTTCGTTGGCGCCGTGCAAAATTCTCTCAATTTACAATTAATTACTAAAAAGGTCGAAAAAATACCGAAACAAGAGGTCGAAATATAGGTATCTAAATAGATATTATGCTGTTATTCAAGATTTATTCAATCTTCCCATTTATAGCCAGGCAGATATATTTTATAGGACCTTATATTTATGAGTCTTTTCTACTTCCCTAGTCCCTATCATAGTCCGCGCCTTATTATAAGTATCTGCTAGTCAACTAGCAGAAAGGGGCCAACTGTCGCCGTTGGACAGGTCTATATTTAAAAAGGTTGAGAAGGCCACACGTGAAGACAAAAATAATTTTCTTAGTCTGACTCCAATTCTGTTCTGTCAGGTCTGTCTTCGGAATAGCGCAGACACTTTACGTTCTCGTACGGCCAGCATCAAAAGTTGATGAGCAAATTTAAATTTGCAAACTAATATAAAATGGTGTTCAGTAACATTTTACGAGAATAGGAAGCAAGTGCACGAGAGCCAAGCTTCGGCACGAATGGGTCGGCTCAACCGGAGTGATATCACGGTATCACACCGGCATGAAACAATCACAGCGTTGTTTTTTGCCGTGTGTGTGAGGTTACCGGAGGCCCAATCCCTCCCCCACACCATCCCTTTCCAATCCTTAAATATCTGAAACCCTTATCCCTAAAAAGCTGGCAACGCACTCATAACTCCATTGGTATTGCGGGTGTCCATGGGCGGCGCTGATTGCTTACCATCAGGTAATCCGTCTGCTCGTTTGCTGAACTATACCATAAAAAAGAGATGTATTCAGTGAATTCTAAACTTAAATAATTTTCATTCAATATCGGTCCTATCTTGTTGTGTAATTTATGGGTTATGTATTGTGCAGTGGTTTTGAAAATCTGAATGTGGTCATAGACTTTTGATGCTGACTATACCTAAATAGAGACTTTATGAATAGCCATTTGTCTTTTTGTAAATACCTATATTTAGCATAATTTATATTTTTTATAGATTTAGTTTTTTTATATAACTTATTTCTTAGAATAATTTGTGAAAATGTGTGATTTATGTTTGGATTTTCAAATAACCAAAAAGCAACATTTGAAACTTTTTCGTAAAATTTTGTAATTAAGTCGGTGACAGTGTAAAGCCGATTTAAAAAAATTAACCTGTCACAAATTTGTGTCATTTTTGCCAAACTAGATCAAAGACAAAGAGAATAATAAATATATATAGCGGCTAGATCGAAATCGAAGACGAATAATTGTTGATTTTAGAAATAATATTTTATTTATAATATTAAAATAGTTTTGTTATTTTATTAATGCAGTATTTTTGAAACTGATATTATGCCTGGAAATCCTATAATAAGACGTATGAAGGGCTTGCCCGCCGATCTCTTGGCAGCCGAAGGTCTGTTACACCAGGATTGGCATGCCATAACTCCATGTCAACGAGCTTGTACCTCCCGTCTGGGCATTGCCATCCAACGAGAACAAGAATCCTATATGACCAAACACCCTGAGGTAAGAGAAAAAAACATTCTGTGGATATACATAAAGCTGGCCAACTCTGGGTAGTTGATTTATCTTTTAAGGAGACTGGGGCTTGCTTGTCCCATTAAAGGAACCAAGCCTCCTGTACTGTAATTTTTGAAATAACAATCACAACTTGATTCCCTTTTTTAGCTTGATTACGTTGAAAATATTCAAGTATACAGACTTGTTATGTGTATGTATTTGTTTCTAAGATAACTCATTCTTTAAATGCCGATTTTACGCTGATTACTCTTTCAAACGATACATACATATATTTTTGTACAAATTAAATGCTGTTAAAGGAATATTGTTTGATTTTTATCCAGAACAGATAATATATATTTATTCTTATTTCCATATTCCTTTTTAGATTTTGGCATTGCTCAAAATATTCATTTCGACAGTAACACAAAGAGGGAAAAGAAGGGACTTTGAGAAAGAAGCTGCATTACATTTTACGAGACCTATTGAGGAATTAGATAAAGAGATCAGAACGTTTCTTGAATCACCAGAAGAAGGACCTTATGTTAACATGGTAGATTATTGGATCCTAAAAGTGATTAATTGCACGGTTGAGGCAGTGGCTGGGCAACTGGGTGCTGCGTAATCTATCTCGAGTTCAGCACAGCAGTGAACATCGTTCTTTGTGATCCACAAATTTCTTGTTGTGGGGCTGGATGTGATGTCCATGTGTTTATAAGATTTGCGTGTGCAAGCGCAATTATATACCGCGGCTCCTGTCCATAAGGAACGGAATGGATTTTAGTCAGTAAAAGTGTGCTACTCCTCTCACCCCACCCAGGGTGGAAGAAGCCAATTGATGATTATACCCCTCAAAACAAAACTCGACACAGGAAAAATTCTTACCTCCGGTTTCCGAAAGGCCGATCAATGTTAAAATCAATTTAATCTTTTTGATTTAACAGGAGATTAGTTAATTTTATTTAGCATTGACAAGCCTTTCAGAAACCGGGTGTTAGTGTGGCTAACGTTAATGAAATAAAAAAGCAACTAAGTTTGATATTACAATAGATTTTTACTATGTTATCTACTAGCTTCTGCCCGCGGCTTGGTCCCGTTGTTGTGTTTCAACAAATTTCAACTAAATCGGTCCGGCCGTTTTTGCGTGAAAACATAACAAACATACATATAAAAGTTCACAAACTTTCACATTTATAATTAGTAGGATAGTCCTGTATAATATTGATTTGTTTTATGCTCTTAAAAGGATGATAGGGAGTTTTACGAATTTGACGATGAAGACTTCCAAACGGATATGAAGAATATAATCTCTAAGTATTATCCACCACCGCCTTGGGACGTTCGCACTCCTTCCAAGAGTCCCGCGCCCACGCCGTCTTCCTCCTTCCTATCTATAATAACCTCAGAAATTACTCTTCCAACACCAGGTGAGAACATTCCATGTAGAATATGATAAAATGTAACACACTCTCATGTCATGAAATTTGATAAGTCTACATACATATATACATAATCCATGTAATATTATGGCAGCCTGCTTACCTGTTTAATGGTTATGGTGAAATTGAAAAACTGCGATTCCTTTTAAATCATGTAGTTGGAAGTTGGCTGTAGCAACCTGTGTCTAGCTTCAGTAAACAAATCGAGTTTGTGCCCATTAGATATGTCTTAGATAACATGAGATATATTATGATTTAACAATTTTTTATTTTCGAAAAGACGAGTTCATTTGTAACGATTTTTGAACAATATGTCAATGATCAATGTGTGTGTAATATATTGTTAATTTTAAATTATTAATTAAATAAAAAATATGAAATTTAGTTAAATATATACAGATCTTCAGTATTTCAATCCAAATGTGACTAACATCAAATATTATTTTTACAGAGCCCGTTCCTACACCAGAGCCGACTACTTCTCAAATATTTTACCGAATGATCTCTAATACTGTAGACAAAGCAATATATTCACAAGTTGACCAGGAAGCTCTCCTCTACGATACCGCCTATGTGGAACTGATGAAAGCCGTGGAAGAAGCTATGGAGATACCAGTGCGTGAAATACGCGTCGATATTGCAGAACTTTTCCGTGAAGCTTACCATTTGTTTGAAATTGATATCATTGAAAAGGAGAAAATGGGTAATTAATGCGCAGTACTATTTTAGTTTTCCATTTCAACATAAATCAGTTTTCACATTAACTGTTGTCTGCTATTCCTTTCTTCCTGCTAAATCATGTAGTTTGGGTATAGAAATTTACTGTGTAGGTAGGTAGACATACATTGACTTTATTTTAGATTTTGACCAAACGACCCACTTTGTCGTTTATTGGTGCAAACAACTCGTTGAGTAAAATATGACAGGATTTGCATTTAAAATTGTTTTCAGTTAAGAATTTAGTAAAAATACTTCCATGTCTACCAACGAACAATCGTCACCTAAGAAAACTGATGTAGAATTCTACCTCTTTATTATGAATTACCAATCCAAAGATTTTTTTAGCAAAAAGTCGGAAGTTGGTGCTTCTAGGTTTTTAATGCGAATGTAAAATAGTAATAATGTACCGCAGCCCTGATATGGAACAGGAGAAGGAACAGATAGTTAAAATTCGTCAGTAAGAGACAGATACTCCTCGAGGTAGCTTGCCACCATTGTGTCTGTACAGACATAATATTTTATAGTAGCTACTTAATCTAAACAACAATCATGCATAGCATTTTCACAATCAAAACACCAATCCAATGGTCAAGCAATCGCAAAATCACCAAAGTGCGCTGTCTACTTGTACATGGATTGCCACACATTTTACAAGTTTGGTTACACGTGTCTCACACCAATGGTAAAACTGTAACAAATTGAAAATTAAAAAAAATATATTATTGACACCGTTTCTCACACGGCGATGGCCTTTTACAGTTGAAATAGCAGAAAGTTCATTAAATTTGTAAGGTGCAAGTATTTTTCCTGTATCAAACTGATACAGGAAAAATACTTGCACCTATGAATAACTGTAAATTATTTTCGTAATTACAGTGCATACCATATGAATGCTTTGAGTCGGTCTGCCTGTTTTAATCTGTCTGTATTCCCTCCATTCAATTAATGTACAGGTATTCGTCATCATTCAGCCGTAGTATTATGTCCATTGAAAGGGCTTTTACTAAATAGAGCCTCTTTGTTCATCATATTTTGTGGAATTGAATAGCAACCGTAAAATTAAATTTATGTTTACAGCTGCTGCAATCGCTTGGGAAAAACGAATGAGGAAGAAATTAAAGAAGTCACTCAGGCGACAAAATAATTTCAAAGGTTATTATTTTTTCTCGACCTTTTTTGTCTTTAAAATAATAATTCTCTCTATCGAACACGATGACATGTTGTCAAAGTCAAACAATTTTTTCAACAAAACAGTTCATGTGCCCAAAATTTTTAAATATGTTGCGTTAAAATCAGTTGCCTCCTGCCGAGCATTGACCAAAATATTAGAAAAAAACTTGAAACTTATCAATACTTGTTTTAACGTATTTTAAGTATTAAGAAGAAAGGTAATTTTCATCTTTGTTACGCATCTATATAAGAGCAGGTCAGAGATGGATATGATGGATGGATGGATGGGTAACTTTAAATGGTGAATTTGTTAATGCCAAACTCCACATTTTTGTGGTACTACTACCTACCGGCCTGTCAAGGATTTTTTATCTAATGACTATGAAACTCAACATAGGATTCATTTGAGTTTTTTTTTTTTGAAGCTTCACCTGTCGTAAAGTTATATTGAGAAAAGAGCTCGAACGAACTGTGTATTGGTATTTATACCAAGGGTCTTTTTCACAACTTCACGACGGTTGATCTTATTCGAATCACAATAATTTACATCGCAATTGATCTAACAATAAACATTTAAAAAATATAACTTATCAAATATATAAACATTGATTTAATTGCACAAAGGTCCTCCTTTTTATTTTAGAATGGTTCCACTCAACTTGAGTAGTATTTATGAAAATATTTTCCGTAGTAGCTATGTATTTCTATGGGACCATGCGAAAAAAATATTTCTATGGGAAGGCATTATATCTGATCTCTGTCAAGCAAATATGCATGGATTCTAAAATGAAGGCAAGCGTCTTTTTAGAATCCTAGAATCCTAATTTATTTTGCATGTACTCGCAAACTGTGTCCGATTTAGGTATTATGTAAAATGAAATTAAATCAGGTAAATGTTAAAAGTTATAAATAATGTGTCAGGAATTATCTTTTTAATTAATAATGTTTTATGTATTTAATTAATTATATATAAAAATACTATTTTATGTCTATTTGTTTCGAACTTACTCAGGAACTATGACTGTATCTAACTTTTTATAAGTAACAAATGAGCTCTGTAATGTTAGGTAGAATCTGTCAGTTTTTAAAACGTCGTGTGGATGCTCCTTACAATTTGCGTAGAACCTTAGAACTTTAAGGTAAATCATAGGATACGAATTGGCATTACCTAATTAGCTTAAATATATATTTATTTCTTTCATATACCTATCAATGCACAAAACATTTTTACAAAAGATGAGCTTAATGCTCTAACAGCCAAACCTTGGGGTATAAATTATAAGGTGCACAAAGGAAGCATCCTCTGAAATATTAAACATAGATTTACATAAATATATACAAAAATAATGTAAATAAGTATAATTATATTGATGTTTTGTAATTACCAGGATATGAAACGCCTCCAACTCCTACCAGCCAAATCTCATCGCACGAGAGCTATAAGAGGCCTCCCCCGCGGCCTTGCGAGTGTCAACCATTGGCCAACTACAATCGATATGGAAAGGTAAGATAGAGTAACATATCATTATAATCTTCATCATTAGCTCATAAATGCCCACTGCTGAGAAAATTTAAACACATTTGAAAATTTCATATTTTAAATTAAAAATTCGATGGCTAGATTTCCTCGCTATTTTTTCCTTCACAGACGTGACAGAATAATATTAGAAAGTACGTTACATGTAATTCGGCAAAAGTCACTATAGTGCCTGCCATGTTTTGAACCTACTCATATGAATGGCGTGCCTCAACCTCCAAGCCACCACGAAAACACAAGTAACAATATATACTGTAAAAGTTAAAACTGGGATTTAAACAGTTCACAGCATAAAACCAAAAAAATAAATCACTCTTTACACTGCCAAAAGAAGTTTGTAATAGAGCTCATCCAATCCAATTTGACTTCTTACAGGACCGTTTCGGCATCTACCTGCCCCGGGAGAAGAAATTTAGCACTAAAAATATAACTACCACACCTGCTTGTTCTTTTGCACCTGCCGATGGAACTTCTGGCTTAGACGTTGACCTCAGAGGAGGAAGTAAGAAAAGCGTGTCTCATAAAAGTAGCACCAAACGAGCTAAGAACGTAACCATGTCTGAAGACGACTCGGCAAAAGCCAAAGCGAATGAAATAAGCAGTGAGGAAGATGGCAAGACCAGTGCTAAAGAAGATACAGCATCATCAGCCTCAGAATCAAAGGATAGTAACTAAAAGCAGTTGACGATAGATGAGGACACTTAATATGCCTCTAAACGCGGTAAAATACTTGCGATTTTCCGACGCCGCGTAAACAAAAAAATATCAGACTATGAATCCGGCACACAATCTTCTTTTACGGTATATTGTCCTAGTATTTTTTTTAATTTAACATGTATTGACTCCGATATGTTGGTGCAGTCAAATTTACTGTTATAATTATTGTATTGGTTTCTAAGTTCAATCTTCAAAATAAACAATGTGATTTATTAATGTTACTTCTTTTTGTTCAAAGGCAAACTTAACTCATTATTATAATGAGGTATATTTGTCTCTATTTTCGTAAGTATTGGGTAATCTTTGAACCACTGGTCGGATTTCCAAATTTATTTCACCGATAGTTAGCTACAATGTTCCTATTATATAGACTGATCAGCTATAGAGATGGATAGGAATGGAGCTGATCAGCGTGAAACCACTCGAGAGTAGCTCGTAATTCATAAAGATGTGTGCGTAACGTATATCATATTTAAGTTCAGTTTTGTATAGACGCTCCTATGGCACTAAATCTGTGCTAAAATTGGCCCAAACAATGTCTTTTTTTATAAGGCAAGTTATATATATATAAAAAATCATTTGTAGCCTTTCGTAGCATAACTTAGCGAAAAAGATTGAAAAATAACATATAAGGAAGATAGAAGGTAAGATGAAAATGAAAACGAAAAGTCAAACAAAGACATTTATTTAAGTAATGAATAATACAATTAGTTATTAGAAATACAATTTCACAACATTATTAATAAATATAAAGCTAATAAAAGAATACAAGGTAAGTTAAATTAACAACAATTTTAGTGAACAATGGTAATCAAATTGTGTGGTTGTACATGTTGTTAAAAACTTCTTTTACGTTACAATAAATTTACTGCACAACCATACTCTTGCAACCAGCTTCCGTCTTATCGCTTTCAGCGTCTAAAATAGCGTTGAAAGAATAGGGACGGAATGGCCAACCGCCACCAGCATAAAATTTGCTCATAAATTCCACCCTGAAAAAAGAATAGGATGTCAGTCAGTCTACATAGATAATCGTCTTGCCCTTATATTATTATATCTATTAAAAGTATGTATATGCGAAAACATAAACTGAGTCCACGCAACAAAGATAATAGTGTCAATCGCTAGCTTGGTTGCGAAGCAATACAATCTGGTTGCAAATGCAATCTGTGATATCACCACGTCTAGGTTATGCAAATTGTAATCCAGAAATTATTTCTCAGAGTCCAACAGTCCATGTAATACGCATGTGGACGTATGTGTTTTGTAGAGAGATAAGACTAAAAAATCTTCCGTTGGTCAAGGGACTTTTTAACGCACAGTATTAACAAAATATAAAATTTGCTCACCAATGCAATCGAAGGCAATGCAGGAAAGCGGATAATCCTTCCATTACTACAAGAATTGAGAGAGTGAAAGTAGCCCACAATGCAAATATGATAACTAGTTTTACAGCTCCGTCAATAGAATGGGTCTGCAGCGCCAATTTCGATAAAACCATGCCCCAGAGCATTTCAGAGAGTTCTGAAAACAAAGAAAAACTTGATGGTATGCAATCGTCGTCGCCGATGGACACTCGCAACACCAAAGGAGTTATGAGTGCGTTGCCGGCCTTTTACTGACAAGGGAATCGGCCTCCGGTAATCTCACTCAAACGTCGAAACTCTGTGATTGGTTCACGCCGGTTTTCTGAGCGTGACCGTGGTGTATTACTCCAGTCGAGCCGACCCATTTGTACCGAAGCTTGGCTCTCCCACACTTAGAACTGACTGACTGACTGACTCTTACCTTACCTGGGCTCAAATGGGTCGTGTTGGCTCGACCGGAGTGATACCACGTACTCACAGAAAACCAGCATGAAACAACCACAACGTTCCCTAAAAAGCGGGTAACACACTCCCGGCATTGTGGTTCTGCATGGGCGGCGCCGATTGCTTACCATCCTGTCCTATCACGGTGCGGTCGTCCTATATGCGGTGTCTACAGTGTTAAGACACCGTGTAAATAAACATGAACTGGATAGGTACTTACGTGCATGGGCAAGGGACAGCGCCCACAGTCGAAGATAAGAGGCCGTATGCGATATTGTGCTGAGAACGAACTCGATCGTGTGAACTCCTTGGTGTATCATCAGCTCACCAACTGCCTCGGAATATTTTTCTACATCCGCTTGAAGTCTTTCTACAGTTTTGGGGTCTTGTTCCTCATAGCTACTTTTGTACGCCTTCAGTGCAGCCTTAAAAACCCCAAGGAGTCAGATCAATAGTGTTTATGATCAAGTCAAGTAGCTTAATTGAGCAATCAACTGACGTCCTCAATAACTAGCCTTTCATTAAATAGGTGAACTTCTATTTAGGTTCTTAGTTCAAAGATGAATTAACTCATGTCATTAAAAATGAGGTACTATCCAAATTCGTAGGTTATGTTAGTAATGCAACCCTCTACACAACTATACAAGTGAAATTGAATCGTCATCACAAATAAACAGCTACAGAAATTTATACTTTTGTATGATGAGTGTGTAAATTCATCAAATTACTTCTCCCTGCTTGGGTGAGGCCGAGAGGAATGTCAGACTACAAAAACATGCCGTTCCTTCTCTTGCATCATGGCCGCGAAGACTATATAAGTACTACACTATTCTATTTATTGCGCTCACACCTGCAGCTCTCTCTAACCAAACCGTACTGAGGTAGACTAGTCAGACTATATAGAAAATAAAAATTATAATGCATGTCATCCATATCAAATAAACAACGAGTTGGTAAAAAATAATTATCAAACATACTATGGCCTTAATCCTCTTCTTTTTATTGGTAGTTAACTTGTAAATTGGAGTTCCTAAAAGTAAAACGGGAACACACAAAAGAGCGGCAAACACCAAACATGTTTGTAACAATCTCTGATTCTCAAACATGTAGCTCTCCTTGCATCCTTCATTAGCTGGTTTAGTCTCAGACATGAGTACCATATCAATAAACAATAACAGGATCTGAGGAGCGCAGCTTGTATTTCTTTCTTGATCCGCTGTAATAAAAATAGAATGATAAATATATTCAAAATTAGCTTGCTTGCTAGCTACTTCGTCAACGTGCAATTATGATTTCAATTTTACATCTGTATTTTAGTTTTTATTTATTGTGATATTCCAAAATATTAATAGAGTAAACTTCTTATTTTTTTATCACTTGCAAATAGAATTTCATATTTGAAAGTTTCGCTTGCATTATTTCCGTACCATTTTAAGGGAGATAAAATTACCTCAGTTATTTCTATGGTATCAAAATATGTGTTTCTTGGTAAAGAACCCTGAATATAGAACCCACATAGTTTTCATACCCAAAGGGGTTTCTGAAATAAAAGTATCCTTTGCCTGTTCTCGAGCCCATACAAGTACCACTGTTGTACCTTATTTCCCTTAAATCTGTTTCGTGGTTTATAAGAAACACAATACTCGTCATTTACTTGTATGCTTTCCATTCCCGGAAATAGTCTGGTAAACCTATGCTTTGCCCTTATTTTATGTTAGATCTCGAATCTACAGTTGTAAAAATTTTCATAAAATCTTTTCCCATATATTTTAAACACTAGCCAATCGCGGATTTTTTAATAAATGTTTCCCTTTCTTGTTGGACGATAAACACTAATACGTCCTTTCATAGAATATTGATTCAAGATCATTTTTTTTGGCAGGGGAAACTCATTACAGCGCATCTCCCGCCCGGGATAAGGCGAGAGTCGGTGTCAGACTCTTACTGACTTAAGACTGACTGACTGACGCTGGTGTACGTGTCATGTTCGTGAACGGGCGCCGCCTATTGGGACTGGTCATCTCCAGGCTGTCTAAATATGTTGTCCTTGAGGTTCACTTCTTTTTCGTACCTTTTGCCTGAACATTAGTGTTACATTGTTCTCACATATCAGAACCAACTAAATAATGTAACAAAGAAATGTATGTAAAACTGATTGAAAAAGAGTAACCATGGAGTTTCTTGCTCGTTCTTCTCCATAGGAATCTACACTTTGGAACGAGCAAATAGCTTCACTAGAGGACAGACGGACAGACTGACATGCTTAATTTTAAAGCTCATGTTATATACTTTTTTCCTTTTTTGCTTGCTTGACGTTCAAAAGTGCCTACTGTGGTCTAATTGAAATAAATGATTTTTGACTTTGACTTGACTTTTGACTTAAAACACCTCCGTTCCTACTCCTGCTCTGAGCCGAGGCCGCGAGTAACTCATTGCTTAACCCGCGGCTGGGGCGTGAGGAGGAGGATTACTCCCTCACGCGGGCCGCCTCCCTCTTTGCGAGCATAACTGCTTCACAGAAGGAGGAGACGGCGTGGCCTCGACTAAGGAAGGGCGCGAGAGGTCACCGCCTCCGATCACTTCCCTGAGGACATGGCGGTGCTCAGCCCAGGCAAGGCATACCACCACCGTATGCTCCACCGTGTCCTCTAGGTGCTCCTCACAATGGCGACACTCGGGTGTTTCCTCCCGCTGGATCCGAAACAGGAACCTACCGAAGCTGCCGATCAAGATCGGGTTATAGACAAGTTCGAATTTGTATCAGTATAGTCCTATTCGGGATAGAAACTGTCCTTTTTGGTGTCACAAACTATCTTAGCGCTCAAAAAGAAAATCGTTCTAAATTTATTGGGACTACCCAATAAATTACCTACCACTAGGTAGTAGCAATAATATCAACTATAGTGACTTGTCCCAAATTTAGACCAAAAATCAAGGACTATTTACTATATTTTTTAATGTTATATTAAAAAATATTGATGAACACACACAAAAGCAATTCTATCACATTTAAACATAATAATCAAAATCCTTTAATTCAGTAACAGATTGTTAATGAAAAATTCGCAGGCTCAAAAATCATATTGTTTCTATACAAACTTTGCCCCCTCTTTTGTCTTATAGGCGCGCGCCGCGCCGGGCGACGCCAGCGAGTCGACGTAGAATTTAACCTCCTTGCCGGATTCCCGCCATGCGATCTAGAGGCAGAGGCGCTTGTGCGCGTATTCTGGCGCGGCACGTAGCCGTGGTGAAACTACGATGCCTTGTGATATTAGTGCGGCGACCTAAAATATGGCGTTCGTAACCTAGTATCGGTCATGTGGTGGAGCGAGAGGAGCTGGTTAACAGTCTCCCTCTACTGATATGCAGTTACGCTTGCAAAAAAGTAGGCACGTTAGAATGACCACTTCGCAGAAAATGGAGGCGGCTTCCAAGTCCCTCTCAATCTGCACCACAGCCTGGACTAAAGCAGAAAGTGAGAGATCGCCCGCACCGATCACTTTCTAAAGGAAAAGGCGGTACTCAGCCAAAGCAGGGCACACCGCCATCGCTGCCTCTACTGTGCCCTCTGGGTAGGCCTCACAATGATGACAACCGGACACTTGAGTCCCTGCTGTTAAACGGGTTATTTCCCCAAAAAACTACTATAAAGTGAATTTTATCCTTTAATTTATTACTTACATACCTAAACAAATTCATTGTTTCATTGTGAGTAGGCTGCGACATGCATATCCCTTCGACCTTTATATATGAATACTAGAATATCAAAAAGTTTATCACAACTGACACATCGACATGCGTCAGCAGCAGAAACTATTTTAAAAACAAAAAATGCAATCCAACTACATAGTCGTCGCGAATGTAATTGCCGAGTACGATATATTCGAATCCCAGGCCGGACAAAGTTTTATTGGTTTTCTCGATTGCGAATTTCTCTTGATTTTGTGCATGGTAGAAATATTGCATGTACATTACAAAGGAAAAAACTAAAAAATATCTAGTAGTAAACTAGAAAATATCACATCGTGGTAATTCCCTGAAAGTGTAGACTTTTTTTGAAGGAGTAAATCATTTATTTTATTCACCCATTTTGGTCGGCTGGAAGAGGGAGTGCCAGACTCTTACTGACATACTATTCTTATTGACATTATATTCCTTCTTCTGTACAATCCATGGGCATATCACCCCTATTGAGGTGCCGTCGATGATGGTGAACTTTGTAAGGCAGATATGAAACGCGATGTTAGGTCTGTTTCTGGTCGGGCAGACTTCCCTTGCTCGATATCCGCAGATGGCTTACGCTGGCCGTACAGGAGATATCCTGTGGCACCTACGACGTAAGTCCGCTACTACGCTCTGACTCCTTATTTGGGAGCATGATACCCCCGAGGACACGGCTATTCTCGACCGCAGCGCAAACAAGGTGCGCTCCTCACATACAGTGAGGCTAAACGTTCTACCGAAAGTGTAGGCTAAGATTTTATTAAGGTCGCCAGACGATCTGACGGATGATTTGCTGCTCTCATCGGCGCTGTCCATAATATAAGCCCGCTATATCGTAAGAGTTACAAGTGCATTACCGGCCTTTCCTCGATTGTGAGTAGTTTGGGGATTAAAAATAAGAGAAAAATCGTGAGCTCGGTAATTTTTTTTTAACTAAGCGTGCTTTGATCTAAGTTTTTATTCTGTGAAGCCTTGATATCACTTTGCTCGAGCCGGACAATTTATGCTCGAGGATGGCTCTCCCAGACTTAAAACATTCCCTTTTTCCTTTTACTCACTAGCCGACCACTAGCTGCCAAACCATCGATATTATCCTGTGATCGTCATCGATATGTGTTTATTTAAAAAGTTGCACAATATGTTACTCACGTTCTTTGGGACCGTACATGAACCACTTCAAGTACATCATGATAACGAGCCAGAAGAAAAGCAGCGTTAGAAACATTAGCTCCGGTATAAACTGGAGAAATATCGCATACGTACGTTTGAAATATCTGATAAGATAAAAAATATAATAACTTAATAAGTAAAGAAAAATAACATGCATTTTCAAAAATACTTGTTTATAATTTGAAAATTAATGAACTAAAAAATACTTTTACAAATCAAGCAACTCACCGAAAATTAAAAAAGCTAAGAACAATTCCAAACATCATGTGAACGATGCCAATAATTATCGAACTTTTCATTTTGAACGAATTTTCGAACATAATTTTATTTTTCGCCAACTGTAATAAATTTGTTCTCAATAATAACGTTTATTTCAGATACTGTTTACAACTCTCATTAAAATAGGCATGTATAATATTTTCTAAACCAATGAATATTTAACTTACCTCCAGATATAGTAAAATTTAACAGACAAAAATAGTAAATGACCACCAAAATTAAGATCACATTTTAATGTAAAATTATAATCAAAGTTTTTACATACCGCTGATTTAAGAAAAATGGCGCCAAAAAATTTTTAGTCCTGAAATAATAATTGATCACGAGATGCTTGACTTGGATACATGCATATACAATAAGTTTACACATTGTATTAAATATATGATGCTTTAATTACCTCCTTAGTTGGTGATCATTTACTTCTTTTGGTCATAGTCATTAGTCATATTAGACTCTATTTCCAATAAAAAAATAACCATTTTAGTACTGGAATGGCAAATAGGAAAGAACTAAAAAATATGTTATTAGGAAGACGAAATACTCACTGCCCACAACGGATCCTTTCCAAAAATATATGGTTGTCGTGTCTCTTTAGACGGGTCTAAATCTATATGGTGGCTTCTTGACAATTCATTTACATTTTGTAGATTCAACCAATAGGAATTACTAAGGTTGAAAGCCTTTGAAAAGATGTCGTTGTAACAAAATCCGGTGAAAATGGAAAACATTCCCATCAAAAATATCACGTAACGACCTTTAGATAAAAAAATGATAAGTTTTTTTTAACATACATACAAGGCCACTATTTTACAAAATACCTACCTACACCAAATCAACAAACCTTTTACAGTTTGAACATTTTCGGTATATAAGCAACTTACAACTAGTATGTATATACTGTTACCGCCGTAAAATATGTTCCAAATTTCGTTAGTCGATCTCTGCTTGTCAAAAACCTTTTCGTTTCTCCACATCCATGCACCAAAGCCGGCCAAAATACATCCATGTCCTAGATCCCCAAACATTATTGCGAAGAGAAATGGAAACGTGATTATGGTGTAGAGACCTGTCAATCAAAATCATAAACAAGTATTTCAAAATCGTTAAATTGTGTATGTAGATGAAGATATCAAATCAGTGAGAGAATATTGTAAGAACCTAAATAATTCTCAAAACAAGAGCTAGTGGATAATTAGCGTTATATCATTAAAACGGAATCCATTTTGAAAATAAAATAATAGTCTCCTTAAAATTACGTAAGTATATTATTTTATAAAATAGTTAAAAACTGCGATAGCCAAGATCGTGAGGTATGTAGAATAGAATTCAATTTCTTAAACACTCTCAAAGTTCAAAATGAATGCAACTTTTCTGTAATAGATTAACCAAAGTTAGCGCAGCACCTTCAACTTTAGCGAGCATTAAGTTACAAACAGTGGAACAAATATCAACCCTGCGGACACTTAACATTTATATCAATTGATAATGAACACAAAATATCATTGATTTTTATAATCAATTGTTCTCGTTTAACGTCAGGTATTTATTGGCTTCATGTTTTGTTTTTAACAAAAAAGTTTTAAACTTGAAATTAATGCCAAAAGACAACTGCATGACACACTTCCAAACAGTACTCAGACAATTCACCTGGATTCAGTTCTCTGTACGTAGAATCACCATAAGCATTGATAAGATTCTGAAAACCCCTTGTAAACTTGTTGGTTCGGTGGAAGGTAGGGGGCATTTCAGTGGTTTCAATCGAGGAAGTAAATGAGGGTACATTTGACTGTACCTTTTCCTGGAAATAGAAACAATTCGTTTAAGACTATGCGTCTTCTACAAAGTATAACGTGTAAAGTTTAGTTTCAAACTACTTGACAATATGCAAGCATTCATTACATTATTTGAGGTAAAAAATTCATTCACTAGTACGATCTTCGTACAAAATGAAATGAGAAAAAGAGTTACTAGTTCGACTATCGAAGTAATGGGAAAGGATGTGAGTAATTATAAACAATTTCCTTGTCGACACGGCTGACACACGATAAAATATTTATATGCGATAATTACTTAGAACCTAGTGAACCAACGTACAGAACAATCTGATAAGATTTTATTGACTCTATCCAGGTCAGCGTTAGGTATCCAACACTCTCCGATCAAACATTTTTCCTTCCGCATCATATTCATCGTATGATAGACAGCCTTCGATTTTCTTACTGTTCCCATCCAAACAAGAAAGTTTTTGCTCACAGCTCGCAAAGTCTTGCATCGTAGGTATTTCGTTTTATTTAAAACCTAAAAAGCCCAAAAAGTATGGTTTAGAACAGGAAAATTTACCATTAATATACCATTCATCGCTGTAAAAAGATGTCATCTTTAGATGGGTTTGTTTCTCCGCGATATAGCATATTTATACCTTACGAATGATCCAAAACTAAATGCTCAAAGGGCCAGGGGTGTCAATAACAAAATTCAAACATTCAAAAAAACTTACTTTTTAAAATAAATTTTAAAATTAGTGAAGCCAATTATTAATATTCCACAGCACACAATAGTCTTTCTTTGTTTGGATGTAAGTTACTTCTTGTAACTTGTTGATTGGAGTTATTAGGGGACTCACATGTATGATCAGAAATGAGTGTTCTGTAACTGAAACGATGATGATGTTTTTTATAACAAAAATACCTGATCCAAATCAGTGATCCTCGTTTCCAGTTTATCTATCACTTCGATTCTCTCCTTTTGAGTATTGGGACATGGAAAGGTGTTAACTTGGAAACCAGTACAAATCTTTTGTACGCGCACTGACAGCGCTTCGCCTTGACATATTGCTAGAAACGCAACCTTCCTGATTTCTTTACGCTGTATGAAAATTTTAAGCAGAAATTAATAAATTATTATATACATTTCTACCTAACAAAGAGGACGAAGTAGATCGTGCGAGCGGTACCCGCTTCTCATGGGTTATTAAACCTATCAATGTGACATTTACGGAATTATATATTATGTAGGTACTTCTTTAGATTGTAAACAAGCTCAACACGCTAATACAAGTAGTGATTATGTAAAGACACACACAGGAAAAGTCAAGGTTAATCGACAATGTTTCCCACATTGTGGATTAACCTAGACTTTTGATTTCTAATTGCAACCTACACTTATGATCTAGGTAATAATAAGTTTCAAATTGCGAATCCAGTTCCACCAAATGTGGCTGTCAAAGTTGATACCTTCTCGATAAGAAAAAAGGCTAAACAGGTAAGTTTTATTTGGCTTATGATGATAATGAATAAACAAAATAATGCAACGCTATTTTTACATACAGTTTGAGGGTCGATGAGAATCTTGTCATTAGAAGACTGTCTATAGTAGACAATGCCGTGGGAGATCCTCCATAGCATCATTTCGAAAGCATAGCATCTGGTCCTTCGGACAACCCCAGTTATTACTATCAGACGACTTGCCCCCACGTCCCCTCCCATCTGTTGTGCCTGTTGGGCGCTGTTTATAAGAGAAAAACTGATTCAGAAATTTGTCTGGGATTTTATTTTAATTCTATGGTAAGTATACATAAAACAAATTGACCTCAACAATCATTCAGTACGGCACTCTATTGTTTTTTTTTTATTTAAAACAATAATCGTAATTTAATGAAAGAAATAGAACTCTGCCAACTTTAGCCGGACTAAATGTGACGTCATTGATCATATTATTGTAAAAGCAGGAGAGAGCAACGGGGGTTTTTAGTCAGCCACGGTCTGACTCTCCCTCTCGCCTTGGCCGTAAAAAGTCATTTGATGATTATCACAAGAAAAGGTGTGAAGTAAATGACCTGATCGGCTAAAATTTTTAATGTATTTATTGCACTTAAAAAAATAGACAGTTTTAAAGCCTATTTATATTTTGAAAATTCTTAATACACCAGGAGAAATATCCCAATTGCGAATAAGATAGTGAATGTAAAGAAAGAAAATCTCACCTACGTTTCAGATATACATACCTATATTCTAAAGTATTTTTAAACAATCTTGATCGTTATTACCTGGTAAATAAAGTTTCCTTTCTTATTTCCGAATCTCCCAACAATGAGTTGATGTATGTCAAAACGTAATGAAACTCGGTCAACTCAAAATAACTTTTCAATAATGTTACTTCGTTTGCCGTCATTTCTTGAATGTCTTCTTCCCATTTTTCTATCATATTCTGTAATGAGAAAAATATTGAGTTAGACTCCCATCTGAGAGCTTCTGTACAAATATCGGTTGATAGTTGGCCAGCCACTTATTTTTCTTGTATTCTTGTGTGACCAGTTTTAACATATTCCTATATTCTCATTTCTTTGTGAAACAGAATGAAAGTGTATTATTATTTAAATGTACTTTCTAGTCAACTCCTTGATTCATTAGTGACCCTATTTAACAGTCCTACTAAGTATAAAGTAATGTTAAGCATCGATATTGCGTAGGTTCATTATGGATTGATAGTTCTCATTTCACAACATTTGTCAACAGACGTGTTTTAATATAATATCCTAAAACAATTATTACAATTCTACTAATATTAATTTAAGTTATCACTTTAGAACCGATTCCACTATTTATAAAGTGTCAATCACACGTCAAAATGATTGGCGTTTAATTATATAACACTAATAGGTATCCTCTAGGGGGATTCGCAATACCTCAATTTCGATACGGATATTTATTTCACAGAACATAGCACTTAGAATATTAATATATTATGACACTTTCAAAGTATATTTCATTTATAACCATTGCTAATTTTGTCATAAATGACAGTTTGAATTTACCCCTACTTTTTGAGGAGGGCGAGGCAGTGTCAGACACTTTCTGACTAAAAAGCCCCGTTCCTTTTCCTGTCCCAATTATTGCGATTGTCCAGCAACACCGGCTGAATACCAGCCTTGTAGATCGTCTGTGGTGATCTATTGGCTCTTTGAGACGCGTGAGGATCGCAACGCGCCGTACGCTCGGTTCTGGTTCTGATTGGGCATCGAGCTACCCTTGTATGCCTAACTCAAACCCTAGCTTAAGTGGCCGGAGATCGTTGCTTGATCCCCGATGACCTGAAAGTCGCCTACAGTGCCGTGAGGAGGATAGTTCCCTCACTCGCTCCGTCTCCTCTTCTGCAAGCATCACTGCTTTGCAGAACGAGGTTTCGCACTAATATCTGAAATGCTTGGCGAACCTCACAATGCTACATTGGGCGTTCCCTACCATGGACATGTAACAAGCCACTTCTTAAAAAGGGACCTTACCGCTGCCGCCTTTATAACAGCGTGACCGAGTTTGTATATACGGAATTTAATTGATACAAATTAAATCTAGCAATTATAGAAACATACCTCAAACTGCACCATTTCGTAAACTGGCTGGGCTACAGACTCTGCTGTCGTTTCTAGCATAGGTATGTCGTTTAGCTTCATTTCGTGCGCTATAATTTGAAGCCTACGTTCCATCTCAGCATAACGGCACACCTCCATGACAAAGTTCCGTTGGAATAGTTGCAGTTCTGGATACATCTGGAAGTGTATTTCCAGAAATCCTATATTTCATGTAGAAAGGCTAAATGAAAGAGCATAAGACAAACAAAAAAGAAAAAGAAGTGTTTAAAAAGAAAAGTGAATAACAAAAAGATTAAATGAGGACGCGCACAAAAACTGCTTCAAATGTTGAATGTGATTGCATTTAAAAGGTACTTGGTGGATACTTTCATGAAATAAACATTCGCAGTCTTAGAAAACTTTAATTCTTCAAAAATATCTAGGTGGTTTAAAAACATAATAATAATTCCATTCCAAAAAAATCCAAGCGAGTGGCCACAAAAGTCACATAAAATAAAATCAAATAAAGAAGAAATTACAGTAAGATTTTTTTTTGACTTTGCTTATCTTTATTAAGAGATTTAATTGCATTTTAGATAAAAAGCTCCAATCATATCTAGATTTCTATAGAATGTATTTGACAGTATTCCATTTCTTTGAAATTGTAAATGAATAAGCGCTCAGTCTCAAGTCACAAAGACTGCCACTACACTAATTAAATAATTACATTAGCACAATTATTAGAAAGACAGAAAAACCTCATTGAGAACGTACGTCTATGAATTGCACACAGCCCAACTCTCCAAGCTCGGCAAGAACGTCAAACGCTACTTCTGGTTGGAGATACATGCCACATAGGGTCATGGGATCACTCCTGAGCATGCAACCCATTTTGTAGCTAGAAAAAAAACACATGCATATACTTACAACCAATTGGAAAATTTGCTGGGCCATTGGATATTGTGTACCGACGTGCGACGTTGATTGCCGTACAGGGTAAAAAATAAATATGTTTTCCCCTTCACGTCACGTGCAAATAGTTCTTTTAATGTTTTACCCAAATATGACCGAATTTTATTGCTATTTTCTACATTACTATATCAAGAGAACAGAAGAAGAAATATACCACTAGTCCTCTTTAGCGGCCGAATTTGTAGTGCAAATTGGCGCTGTGCCGGCCCTAACCACGAATGCGCTTTAGTAATTGTATGGGCGCCATTTCGTCAACTGAAACCACCTTTCAATTTGTAGGACGCGGCAACGTTACATTTTGTGCGTGGCAGCTACACTTTCAATTTCAGTACTCAAACTGTTTTCGGAAAGGTCACTAAAAACCCTATCTCGGCCGCAATATTTCATTAGGACTCAGCGAACATGTGTAGGACACAATTAAGTACCATAAACACTTCAATTTCACTGGTCTCTCTCTCTCTCTCTCTCTCTCTCTCTCTCTCTCTCTCTCTCTCTCTCGCTCTGACACACACACACACACACACACACACACACACAAACACACACACACACACACACACACAAACACACACACACACACACACACACACACACACACACACACACAACAAGCGCGCGCACACGCACGCACACACACAACTTATTTTTATGAAATATATTCGCCAACAGCGTTTGTTCTTCCACCTGATGTAAGCAATCGTCCCCGCTATGAAAACCCACAACATCAGACGAAATATGCGCGTTGATGATTGCGATTTTAAAAATTTGGGAACTGGAAATGTGGAGTATTAGGGAGTGAGGGTTGGGCCTAAAACTAGCTCACTAATAAGGCAAAACACAAACCTACTGAATAAATCAAAGGAAGATGTACTCAGCTAATGTTGAGTGGCGCAACTCATTTATATTCAAAAGTCTCATCAAATTTGATACAAGTTTAAATTATATTGAAGTTTTATTACCCGTTAAAATCCTTTTATTCTCGTAAACCTGTATTCCTCAATATTATTGTCACAATGACACAAGGTTTCTAGACAGGCTTACAAAAATATTTTCTCGACTGTGACGTAGAACTTCATATTTCCTTCTTTTCTTCAAAATTTAAATGTCCTTAAACAGTTTTTATAGTACGAAGTCTTAATATGTAAGTCTGGATTGAAATTACTATACCAGAACCAAATTTTTTTTACTAGTTCGTACGTAAATTAGTATTTACGAACGATAAAGGTTTTTTAAAATATTATTTGAAAACGTCTAAATGGAATATTTAAATTTTCCGGTAGACCTAATTTCATACTTATTTATAGTCTACCCGCCAAGAAGAAAAATGCAAAACTTGGTCACGCCTGACTTACTGGAGCTGCAAAGGCCACATAGTGTGTAACCCACTTCTCTTCGTCGATACAAAATGGAGTGAATGTGCATTTGATATTCTCAGCATTCTTGCTAATGGCTGCAGTATCTCTCACAGCAAGCGGTCACTATGCACACAAATCTTGTAATCAGCTCACGCTTATTTGCTTAGTTTGTCTTACATACAAATCCCACCACACCCTAATCTCTTTAGATTGTGTGCCATTTGTACGTTTCCCTTAAAGCAAAATACACAACTGAAAATTCACAGTGTTTACCTAACTTTGAAAACTGGAAGAGTAACTATATAGGCATAACTGTTTGTATGATTAGTAGGTATGTTTCCTCCGTCAAAAAGAAATTAATAAATTTAACTCTTCATAAAAAAATCAAAACAGTATTTTATAATTTTCTAGCTTATTTAGAAGAAATAAAAATGCTAATTTGCCGCAAAAATTTGGATGATATGCCATCACAACTTACTTTTTTACACAAAAGTAATACTTAAAAGATTCACGTTTCTGACGGTTTGAAAAAATGTATTAACATTGACTATAATAGTTCGAAACTTCCCCTCTTTAGGAAGACCACTCTTCCAGAAATGGCAAGTTTCATTGACATTGACATTGACATTTTTGTTGTTAAGCTACTCTGGAGAAAAAAAAACCTTTTTCCCTATTAACACATAATAAGACACGTAGAAAGATATTTATTTATCAGCCTATGTATCGACGGGCAACAAATCAGCGGGGCTCAGCTCAATCGATTACTTTCTACCTTGGTACCTTCTTCTGTTATTCTTTGGGTCCCTGGAGAGAGACAGGCACAGGAATAATTTACTGTTTCCCAACTAAGTTTTGAGGTGGGCTCGTAGTTCCCCTGGGCCGAAGTACCGGTACCTGCTTTCTTCTCGTACATTAAAGTCAATTGCGAACATTATTTTGAATACAAAAGTACGTAATTCTAACACAGGAGGTAGTTTCTTTTATTTAAATTGGAATATAAAACTAAGGTTATCCTTATGATTATTATTTTTTATGACTTTAATTTTTTATAAGGTAGACACCTAGTTCCAAATGGGCTGAGGCGTATATTCTTTGTTGTGCGCATGATATCTATACTAATATTATAAAGAGGTAAATTAAGTTTGTTTGTAGGGGATAACCTTTGGAACAGCTGGTCGAATTTCGGAAAGTATTTCACTGATATATAGCTACAACGTAATAAATTATACTTGATTTGCATATCTTAGTCGAGCTATTGCTTTAAACACGGCTGTTTTTATAATTCCTGGCTGCATAATAATAGTTCCAAATAATTGATAAAAATACACATCACTTTGAAATAGATCAAACGACAAGAATTTGCAAGCATTGGCTAATGACCAAAAATACTTTATTATAGTAAAAAGGTAGAAATGTGCCACGGAAATCCGTGGACCCCTGCCTACCACTCTGCTTGATTGACCAAAGTGTTATTAAAGTTTACGATCTTTGAAATTTTCTATTGTTGCACGGAGTCTGGATCAATACACGGTGAATTTCAATATACTCGACCCCAAAATGTGGCATGCGGCTTATAGCGAAATAGTGTATTGTATAAACAAATACATATATAGAATCCCTAGTCTGATGTCTTAGGGGAAATTATACACACATAAAATCTATCTATATCTATTATACCTATATAAAAATGGATCGGTAAGCGCATAACTCAACAACGCGACGCCTGGACCAATTTTGCCAATTTTTTTTTATGTAATAGGTCGGCAAACGCGCAGACGGATAACCTGATGGTAAGCAATCAGCGCCGCCCATGGACACCCGCAACGGAGGCGTTACGAGTGCGTTGCCAACCTCTTAGGAATTAGGGTTTTAGAGGTTAAGGGATTGGGGAGGGATCGGGGGAGGGGAAGGATTGGGCCTCCGGTAACCTCACACATACGGCGAAACACAACGCTGTATTTATGTAATTTTTTTTGATGTTTTTGTTATGGTTAGAAGAAGGTTCTTATGAAAGAAAATTGTAGAAAAGTAGAGGGGAGATCTGGGAAATAGGGACACTTTGGTCGTTAGCGAGATAGTTAAAGACGCGTGCGAAACAGGTGCGGGCCGCTAGTTTTCTATAAAAAACTAGATCACAATATTATGATATTTTTTTGGTAGGGGAAAAACATTAAATGACTTCTCCCGCCCAGGGTGAGGCGAGAGGGAGAGTCAGACACCAAACTCTTACTGACTAAAAACCCCCCGTTCCTTCTCCTGCTTTAGGCCAAGACCTCGGTTTTATGATCTAAAATGTTTTAATACCTAGGCTATGTAAGGTGCTTTGGCTCGACATAACCTGACGTGACAATTCTACCCTCTTCACCCCAAATCCCCATAAGGTCGACAACGCACTACCAACACATAATATTTTGATGTAGATGTCCAAAGCCGGCGCTGATTGCTTACCATCAGAACCATTTTTTAGTTTACTAACCTTTTCTATAAAAAAACTTAATAGTATTGTATTTAATTATTTGGCCATTGTGATATTTACAAATGCGAAATATTCGAATATAACAGAATATTTAAATTTAGAAAGACTTAAGAAAAATATCTATAAAGATTTAATCGCACCACAAATTATTATTGGTGTTTATTATGAGTTTGTAAAATATTAATAAGTACAAACTGATGTATCTGCTTGTTTCTCCCAAACCTTTTCAAACAGTATTATTTCAGTAGGTACTAAGTACCAAAATCAATATGTATACTCCCTCAAAAATAGTCTAAATATGTATCTACATTTATAAATACGTACACTCTACTTACTTTATTTATAAATAATAGATTGCGAAGTCTTAAAACGCCACGGGAGTCCTTTGAACAGATCTCCCGTGGAGAGATATCATGGCGTGGCGTCGTAAAATAGGTACAGACAATTATAATCCGTGAATACAATGTAAGGGCATATTGTAAAGGATACACGAAAAGTTTGGTATAAGAATTAAATCAGAAATGCTGTTACTACGGGCGATGATCAAGGTCTACACAAAACATTTTTAGTATTCTGAGGTAACACTTAAATTTGTTACTAAATATCAAATACCTTATCTAAGTGTGGGAGGACAATGCTTCGACATGGCGGGCTCGGCTCGATCGGAATTATACCACGGCCTAACAGAAAGCGGGCGTGAAACAATCTCAGCGTTGTGTTTCGCCGTGTGAATGAGGTTACCGGAGGCCCAACCCTTCCATCCCATCCATTAATCCATAAATCTCACAAATCCAGCCCAGCCCCACAAGGCCAGCTCCGTAACTATTCCGGTGGTGCGGTCGTACATGGGCGACGCCGATTGCTTACTATCAGGTAATCCGTCTGCTTGTCAGTCGACCTATCAAAAAAAAAGGATTTATGTTAATATTAATTATATTATGTTATAGTAAGTTCACAGGTTCGCAGAACCAGCTCCAACAATTTCGACGAAATGTTGTATGGAATGGGTTTCGGCGAAGGAAAATCGATCTAGCTAGGTCCTCCAGGTTGTTTCGTAATACTAAAAGTTATGAATATCATACTCAATA